TAGAACAGATAACATCAAAGTGCAGAGTGAGAGTAATCTTCCTTGATAATTTTGTGTGTGTGTGTGTGTGTGTGTGTGTGTGTGTGCTGGGTGATCTTCAGGCAAGCTTTATTTGTTAAAACATAAACAAAATATCCCTACATTTTACTACTACTTACAGTCCAACAAAAGGTTTTAAACAGCCGAGGTAGATGATTCTAAAGCGCCTTAGCCTTGTAATTGTCTCTCTGGCCATGTGCCAGCTTCAGATGTTAGACAGATTGGTGACTCATTCAAAGACCTTGACACACAGGGAACCTGGCCAGCACTCAGCCTCCCAGGTTCTAGATGGGTCTTTTTCCACGGAGAGTCTTAATAAATCACCTTGCTAATGGGCTTAGGTTAACCTTCCACCATATCTGGACTTGTTTGTAAGTTTTGAAAGAGCAGTAGCTGATCTAGTATATTCTGATTAATTATAATTCCATTTGGGTTTATTTTATAGGGAATGGGCTTGGAAGCAGAGAACCATGAAGTATGGGACAACCTCAGGTACCGGCAGACTTGGTTTGGCATTGCTTTAGGATGTGAGCCAAGAAAAAGAAATACGTAATCTTTAATTTGTGCACAGTAGAATTAGCCTCTCATAAACAAGCCTTCCTACTGTGGTATTTTCATGATAATTTTCTTATTAATTACTTCAGTCACCAATTTTGCTTTTTATGTTAAATCCATTTTGTTATTGGGTGTGAATTTTGATGTGTAATGATGGACAACATTTTCAATTTTTGTTTGTTTATTTATTTTTTTAAGACATGGTCTCCCTACATAGCACTGGCTATCCTGGAACTCACTATGTAGACCAAGCTGGGCTTGAACTCACAGAGATCGTCCTGCCTCTGCCTCCTGGAGTGCTGGCATTAAAGGAATGCACTATCACTGCCTGGCCAAAATCACATTTTTTTTTTTTAAAGAAAAACCTTATTTTAAACTGTCAGCATTTGTCTCATTTATGATGATAGAAATGTTTATCATAATATTTTTCTAGATCAGACAGTTTTATTACCATGGTTGAAACAAAAGGAAATAGTGAATCTCTTTGGCACTCAGAATTAAATATGAATCATCAGGAGACTGTGCAGGCGATACTGCAGGGACCGTTGCCTGCTATACTGTATCATTTCTTTATAAAATGTGATTACATAAGTGTTTAGCTTATGGATGAATCCTAAGTGTGTGAACAGGACATAATCATTATGAATAGCTTTTTAAGAAATAAATTTGGAAGAGCTATGCAGATGGGCAAAGAAGTGGCCTGTGCTGTTGGACACATTTGGAACGCGTGTCTTGATTAGGTTTAGACTGGATTCTAGTACTGGGAAGGGATGAAAACCAGCAACATTTCAGGCAATAGCGCAGTAAAGCCTTGAGAAGCCTGTTGATCTGACTGGATGAGAACAGCCCTCTGGGAAGATGGCTGAGTGAAACTGACTGTAGATAGCTAGAAACATGAACGAGCTGGAGCTGCTGAGAGCACAGATGTCACCCACATAGAAGGGGTGGCATTTGAGAGGAACAACATGACACAGTAAGAAGAAAACTGAGAACCAAGTCATGTCTCCTTCACACGTGTTTCTGGATGTCAGTGTTCTGAACTCTTCTATATGAAGATCATACAGTCTGGTTTTTTAAGCTTTATGTAACTTTTACTGAGTAGCTAGAGTCTGATTAATAGAGATATTATACTTTTGTGAACAGGAAAGAAATCCACTGTCTAATACTAAGGGTGATTTTGAGCTTCAGTGTACCAGTTTCGTCAAAGCCTTTAAGAGCTGACTAGTAACATATTTTAATTTCTCTTTTCCTAATATCACTTGTGTCTTGCTTCATGGTGTCTTAACAGGAAGAAGCATTGCCAAGGTCCTCATTGCAAACAGAGGAGAAATTGCTTGCAGGGTGATGCGAACAGCCAAAAGGATGGGCATACAGTCTGTGGCTGTTTACAGTGAGGCCGACAGGAGCTCCATGCATGTGGATATGGTACGCTGCTAAAAGCGGGGAGCAAAATCTTGGCGATTGCATGTATCTGCCTCTGTGTCCAGTTTAGTTCTTCACGGGGGCAGTTGTTGATTGCAAGTGTTAACTAGGTTCCTTTAGGTAGGTTCCAACTTCCTGGACCAGCTTCAGATGGCTTCTTGGTTTTGTTTTTTGTTTTGTTTAGTTTGGTTTGGTTTGTCATAGTAAACTATTTTGTCTTGTTAGAAATAAGTTTTCCTCCTGCCTTTCAGGTCTCTGAACCTTTCTCCTTTCTCAGTGTCCTTTCTGGACTCCAACCTCCTGTATGAATTCGACCATTATTATTAAAGTTCTGATGTTGAGACTTGTCTTGACCCTCCTCCTTTCTCACTGCGCTCTTTATTCTTGACCATTTGACCTCTCCCTTGACTTTGTGGAAAACTCCCAGATTTCTGTCTGTAGCTCAGCCTTCCTTCTGAACATGGGTGTCCAGGGACACCAAGCTGCCCATTTGTCAAACAGCAAACCAGTATGTCCTGACACTGAACTCTAGCTATTTTGTCTACACGCAGCTTGATGGTCTCCACACTTGCCTTCCCAGTGCCAACACCTCTGCTGAAGCAAATAATGGTGCAGAGACCTGGGTCTGGTTAAATGTCACCCTCCTCTTTCCCTCACTATTTAGAGAGCACTAAGGGCTGCTACTTCTGCTTCCCAGACGCTCCTCCCACTTCCTCCTGCACTCTCTTACCTGCACCAGAAATCAGGCCACTGTTTTGACTGGAGAGTGCCATTGCCTTCTGAGCCTTCTTCCTGTTCCCTCCTGGTCCTCTTAGGATCTCTTTCTTGCATGTCAGCCAGACCAAGTTATGAACCAAAATTGTTCACATAGTTTAATTGCATTATGATCCATCAAGATAGGAAAACTTTAAGAGACAGAAAGCTAATTCTTGGTGTTGATGAGGATGGGTAGAATTGGTGTGTTGATGGAGATGTTCGTTAGTGAAACCCCAGTGCTGATGAACCAGGAACTTTAAAATGTACACATGTGTGAGCCTGTCCTGCAAACATTCTGCTTGGTCTGTGGCTCCAAGGTGGGGGGGGGGTACATAAAAATGCACAAAGTTATATAAAGAATTTTTAGCCTTGCCTGTGTCCAATGCTGTGCCACTACAACCCAAATTCAAGTGGAGAGGCTTGTGATTAAATGAGCGGTGGTACCTCCATTCTGTGTAATTGTTCTGCACAGCTGTACTTGTGTGTGCTAGCAAAGAGGCACCTTCCCAAAAATTCCAGAAGATAGGCAAATAGTGTGATTCCATTTGTATACAACTAAGACTGTGTGCGTTGATGTTTATGTGAACAACTAAAAATATGGATATGAAAAAATGTTCCAAATTAGTTGTAGTGGAAAATAGGTCTGGAGAGGACTATAATGAAGAAAGGCTGGTACCCAAGGCCAATTTGCCACTGTATTATTGTCCATATTTTTCAGAATGAGAATATACTTGTGTTTTGTGAAGTTAAAATATGATTTGGGGCTTCCCCCCCAATCTCATTATGAGTTCTAATAGGAAAAAAATCCAAATATTTTTACTTCCTGGAGGCCTCATGAAATCTGTTATCACAGGTCCCTTGACCACTCTCTTACTATGACCCAGCCACATGAGTTATCCTTGGTTGCTTCCACAGACCAGGTTTCTGTCCACCTCTGGACCTCCACATACGTGTGTCCTCTCCATGGAATCTCTCCAATCCCTTTCCTAAGTCCATTTTGTCATCCATCCCCAGGCCAAGTCCTTCCTAACACCAACGAGCAGCCCTGACCGCCCCTGCTAGCTCTCCCTGCCACCCTCAGACCAGAGCCAGCCTCCTCCTTTAGGGCCTTTGTCACAGTTTCCTTTTGTGTGTGAAGGTTGAATGGCTGGCTGTCTTTCCTCTGTAAGGGACACTTCCCAACTCCAAGCCTGGCACGCCGTAGGCATTCAGCACATGTGTATAAATGGATACTTGCTTCCTATTTGGTCTACTGCAAAGGATGCTTTGGTTGTGTGAGAAATGTAAAGGGTAGTGCAGAACAATGCACACATCATAAGAGATTATATAAATTTCTAATGTTTCATTGCTACATAGTTCCATTAATGTATTTTGTGTCAGTTTTTGGACACTAAGTTTGGGCACTAAGTACATTAAAGATAGTTATAATGCTGTGATTAAATCTAGAATGTGGTTTATTTGGGAAAATTGAATTTTGACTCTGCCTACATGCAGGAGTGAGTCCCAAACTGGATGCTTCTGCTTCTTCATCTTACAGTATTCATGTCATTATCTGTTGTGCCCAGTGTTTTTGTTTTAAATAGTAACTATATCAGGATTTTTCTTCTGGGTCATTAATGAGCTCCAAAATCATGACATGGAGACTTATTTACTTACTATTAATTATGAATACTTGCCCTTAGCTCTCATTTTATTCTGTTTCTTTTTATCTACAGTTTGTCTCGGGGACGTTTACCTTTCTTCTTCCCTCCGTCCTTTCTTCCCTGCTTTCCCTTCCTTCCTTCCTTCCTTCCTTCCTTCCTTCCTTCCTTCCTTCCTTCCTTCTTTCCTTTCTGTATATCTTACTTTCATTGCTTCTCATGGCTGGCTGGCACCTTCCTGGCTTCTAGTCCTGGGCATTTCCCTCTCTTTCTCCCTCCTTTTCTTCTCTTCCCCTTTGTCTAGATTTCTCCTCCTACTTATTCTCTTTGCCCACCAGTCCCACCTATCCTTCTCTCGTTCAACTGTTCATTCAGCTTTTTATTAGACCAATCAGATGCCTTAGGCAGGCAAGGTGAAACAAATTCAACACACCTTTACATTGTTAACAAAGGCAGCAGAAGCAAATGTAACCCACCTTCACATAGTTAAAGTAATACTCTAGAACATAAACAAATGTAGCATATCTTTGCCTAGTTAAACAAATCTTCTGCAACAAGTAACTGAGGCTAATAATGCTGTCTTTAACAGGCGGATGAAGCGTATTCCATTGGCCCTGCTCCGTCTCAGCAGAGCTACCTTGCAATGGAAAAGATCATTCAAGTGGCCAAGAGCTCTGCAGCACAGGTAAGAACTGTGAAAAAGTTTACAATGCAAAGCAAGTAAATTTTGTATAGTTTATGTAAAGTTACTTCTGTGTAGGCATTTTCTCTTTCCAGCCAGTTTTTGTGTGTGATTATTGAGTTATCTTTGAAAACTGTATACATTTCTGTATACATTTGTATACATTCTTCTTCCTCAGCCTTTTACTGGGTCCTCTGCACTTGAATTCTTTTGGGAAGTAGATGGAGGGAGAATCTAAATCATAAATTAGAATTGGGAGAGAGTTGAGCTCTTCTTCCTCAAAATTCAGGTGCTTTGAACATGAGATGTTTGGGTTTAGGTCATTTTTGCACAGAAACAATAAACAAATCCATCCTCACAGGCTACAAGCCTTTGCTGTCCTTAATAGCACATCAAAGTGTGTGGGGTGTTCTAGGCTGAATGGCGTGGCTCATCAGGTAAAGGTCCCTGCTGCCAAGCCTGTCAGCCTGAGTTCAGTGGAAGGACAGAACTGATTCCTCTAAATTGTCCTCTGACATGCATGCCTCACCACACACACACACACACACACACACACGATGCAATGACAACTGTTTAATAACTATTACTCTTTTAACCAAATATATGTCTTAAATTAAAACAGGAAAGCTATGTCTTAATTGTGTTTCTAAATTTAATTTGTATTGAGTAATAGCCACTTCTTGATATAAGCATTTTTAAAGTTCAATTATTGAAACTTTAAAAAAGTTTATGTAAAGGTAAAAAAAATTAATGTGTATGTAAAGATTGTTCTAGAGATGACAACACAATTCATTAATTCCACTTTAAATTTTTATTTATGTGTGTGTGTGTATATATATATATGTATATATGTCTGTAAATGTGTGCGTGTGTCTGATGTAGGGGTTGGAAACTTGTGAATGTGAAGATCAGAGAACAACTTTGCAGAGTCAGTTTTCTCCTACCGTTTTATGGCTTCCAGACTCAAACTCAGGTGTTTGCTTTCGGTGGGCACTTTACTCACTGAAATATCTCACTACCCTATTAATTGTATTTCTAGGTAGATATAGAAGAATTTATACTAGGGGCTCATATTTGTCCACCAAGGTTCACAGTCATGTTATTTTAGATAATAAAAAAGTAGAAACAATTCACACGTCTGTGAACAGATTTGTGGATGACCAAATCTGGAAATACATGTAATGAAATATTGGCACTAAAAATGTTGAAGCTCTGGTACAAGTTGCCACATGGATGTGAAACCAGCTAAGTTAAATGAGCCACAGACAGACAAGAATTCCATCAACAGAAGATATCTAGACTTGTAAGTTCATAGAAATAAAAAGAAAAATAGCGGCTGCTTGTTCATTATGTCTGGGACAGTGGTAAGATTTTGGAGACAGGTGATGATGACAACAGGAGGGCATCCTCATTGTCAGTCATGTTCTTAGAATTGCTCGAACTGGTACCTCCTAAGCTGTGACTTACTTCTGTAATAAAAGGTACAAGGCTGAGGGTAAACTCCATGGTAGACTCCGTGCCTAGCACACGCGAGGCAACATCAAGTGAAAAAAGAAATAAGTTTTCATGGTGTAAAACAGACTTCAAAATTCAGCGTGAATGTTCTAGAATCTCTGTGGGAGCATGTCATGACAGAGGCCTTGGTGTCTTGTTGGCCACATCTGGGTCTCCCCAGAGGAGGGCGCAATGCCAGCACCAAAGCTCTGCTAGCCAGTAAATTGGTTGTGCTTTCTCTCTTTTGTAGGCCATCCATCCAGGATAAGGGTTTCTTTCAGAAAACATGGAATTTGCTGAACTCTGTAAGCAAGAGGGCATTATTTTTATAGGTCCTCCTTCATCTGCAATTAGAGATATGGGAATAAAGAGGTAAGCATTATAAGACAAATTGAAGTAGTCTATTTTATTACAACGGGTATTTTTTAAATTAATTGTTCCTTGTGTGTGTTTGTGTGTGTGCACATGCAAACATTCCACCTTTACATGGGTTCTGAGGACCAAAGTCAAGGCTCGTGGGGCAAGCATTTCACCCACTGAGCCGTCTGGCCAGCTCCATTCATAGGCATTCTAAACTATACTCTCGTTTCTGCTCTTCTGGCATGTAGGAAAACTCCACTGAACTATGGAAAATATACAAGTAGTTAGTGTTTTAAGATATATATTATCTGTCTGGGGTTAGACGATGGTGGGATGAGCTACCACGTGAAGTCAGGGCCAGTGTGTAACAAGGACTTTGAGTGTGTGCTGTAACATTGGTCTCAGCCTGAAGTCCTTCCTTTACTTGTGCGGTGATTCTTTAAACAGTTGTGATTTATTGATACCACGGAATTGAGACATCTTGGTATCTTTACTCTAAAGCACATCCAAGTCCATCATGGCGGCTGCTGGAGTTCCTGTTGTGGAAGGTTACCATGGCGAGGATCAATCTGACCAGTGCCTGAAAGAGCATGCTGGGAAAATCGGGTACCCTGTTATGATCAAAGCCGTCCGTGGTGGAGGAGGAAAAGTAAGGTTGTGGGTACCTTTTCTACCATTTCTGGCTAGAGGTCTGCGATTATTTTGTGGTCACACCATTCTTTCTTTCTTAGGGCATGAGGATCATTAGATCAGAAAAAGAATTCCAAGAACAGTTAGAATCAGCCAGGAGAGAAGCTAAGAAGTCGTTCAATGATGATGCTATGCTAATCGAGAAGTTCGTGGACACACCAAGGTCAACTGCTGGTTTGGGGTTCTTGGCTTTGGGGTGTATGTGTGCAATGCATGTGTAGTCTGTGAGCTATGGTGTTGTAATACTATATGCATTCTTGAAGTTCCCCAGCTCTGCCTCTGTAATCCTGGGTTAGAGGACAGTATACTTTCATCTAAATATTTTTTCTATGTTATTAGAAAATTCATGTGTAAACAAATAAGAATCAAAATATGCTCAAAATAACAGTGAATAGAATAATTTATAACATAATTATATTATATTATACTTCCAGGCATCTTCCCGTATCAGTAAACACTAACTCTGTCTTAGTGCCTTTGTTCAATTTGGAGTGGCTCTGAGACAGTGATGTACCAGAGTTTGTTTATTACTGGTGAAACCGAGGATTTCCTTCCGGTATTAATATATTCTAAGAATCAGTGTAGTTACAGAGCTGCAAGCATTAGTTGAGGGATTTAAAACAATGGAACTTGTTAGTTAACTAGAGCCAGTTATGAAGACTTTTGTCATCATTCTGTGTTAGCAGGTAGTAGCCCTCCTGGCTAACACGGACTCTACCATGTGCCAGATTCTATGTTTTCATATTCTAGGTGGTCTTATCGTCATAATTCGAAAGCCCCTCCCCCCAGGTTTCAGTTTGTACATCAGGGCACCAAGCAGTAGAGTGACCATTGCTGCCTGTGTTCGCCCAGCTACTATGTTGTAATCTGAAATTTGAGTTCAGAGTTCATATATATTATTTATATACATATATTAGATATAAATATGTATTACATATATATGTAAAACCTTTAAGTCAAGTGGAAAGACAATTCATTTGTGAACCATGCATAGAAAGGCTTTACCTTGCAAACAACGAACTTGAAGCACTAAGTTCTTTCCTTAAAAAGAGCCCAGGAAGGACTCTCTTTAACATTATCTTCTCCTTAAAGAGGGCCCTGAGTTGTTTTGGGGGATTTCTTATGCTGTTTAAAAGGTGGAACTGTGGGGCTGGAGGGAGCAGTCTCAGCGGGTAAGAGCACTGACTGCTCTTGCAGAGGATCTAGGTGTAATTCCCAGCGCCCACCCAGCAGCCCATCTGTAGCTCCAGTTCCAGACCTCTTCTGGCTTCTGCGGGCCAGACGTCAGGCATGCATGTGATGCATACACATACAGGCAAAACACCCATACACATAAAACAAAAATAAATAAATATTTAAAAAAATTAGTGGACCCATACCTGAGTGTGATACATGAAATTTAATTGCAGTTTGATAGCTAAAAAATAAATCCATTTAAAATAGGTCAATAATTAGAAGAGCACAGCATGTGCTCCTATTAGTGGGAAGGCAGAAACGAAGAAGATTCTAAGTGTTTCTTTTTGTAATAGCTTTCAAAAGAAAATAGAAGAATCAGCATCCTCTTCTGTGAGAACTCTAGGAGCACTTGCTGGACATCCCAGCGAGTGTGACTCAATACAGGAAATACTGATTATCTGATACAGGGCCTCCCCATGTAGCCCTGGGCACATGCTGACCTGGAGCTCACTGTGGAGAGCCCTTGAGCCCACAGTCCTCCCACCTCTGCCTCCCCAGTGACAGTCATCCAGCCATAGAAGTAGGACAAATAGCTTGTGTGGTGGTGGCGCACGTCTTTAATCCCAGCAGGTGGGAGGCAGAAGCAGGTGGATGTCTGTGAGTCCCAGGATAGCTAGGGCTGTTACACAGAGAAACCGTGTCTGGAAAATCAAAAAAATAGAAAGTAAAGTAATACGATGAATGACCAACTATCTGGATAAATAGCTAAACGTATCTACTCTGTGTCTGTGAAACTTAACACGAAAGGCAAATAGAAGCCATGGGGCGGAAAGCTGCTAGAGCTGAAACTGAAAAGCCCGCCCCCGAAGACCTGTGTGTGAAGGCTTAGTTTCCAGTTTGGCATTCACTGGAGGAAGAGACGCCTGGTCTGAGATACTTCAGTCCTGGTGGATGTGCCCTTGGGAGAGACAGTGGTACCTACCCCTTACTTTTCTTTCTTAGCTCTGAGATGTACTTGGCTCTGCCATGCCCTTCCACCTTGCTGAGCTGTCACAGGCCCAGGATGGCAGGGCCAGTTGGTTATGGATTAAACACCAGCAATCATGGACCACAAGCAGTAACAGTACTCTCTCTCTTCCTTTTTAGTATCTACTTTTAATTATTATTTATTTTTAATTTTTGGTACTATAATTACAACATTTCTCCATTCCCTTTCTTCTCTCCAAACCCTCCTACATACCCCTTGTTCTCTTTCAAATTCATGGCCTCGTTTTAATTATTATTACATGCATATATGTGTGTGTACATATATATGTATACATACACCTAAATACGGTCATTCTGTGTAATGTTACTTATATGTATGTTCTCAGAGCCAACCATTTGGTATTGGATAACCAGTTGGTGAGTTGTTCGCTGAGGAAGACTATGTCTCCCTTTCTCAGCATTCTTTAGTTTCCCAGTGTTCTTTGTGTAAAGTTGGGGCCTTGTGTCCTTTCCACCATCCCTTTGGCATGTCTGTTGTCCTTGTTCAGCTCAGGTCTAGGCAGTCAAGTTGTGAGACTTTATGGGTGTAGCTTCAGACGTTACTAGGAGATGCAAACTCCTTGATGCTCTGCCCCTTACAATCGTCCCTACCCCTTTTCTACAGTGTTCCCTGAGCCTTAGATGCAGGGATGCTTTGTAGATGTATCTGTCCATTGGGAATAGGCTCCACAAGTCTGCATATTGGTTGGTTGTGGTTTTCTGTGATGGTCTCCATCTGTTGCAAAGAGAAGTTTCCTTGATGAAGGGTATAGACTACACTTACCTGTGGATTGAAGGCCAGTCTTTAGTTTCTTGTTAGGGATCATGCTGGTTTAGTAAAGCGGTGCTTGTTGGCTCTTCTTCAAGACTCATGACTTTGCCAGCCTGGGTAGTCAGTTAGGACCAAGTGATGTATGAGCTGCATTTGCATAGGCATTACGTATGTTCACTCTCAGTATGACTTGTCAGAATTGTGATAGTTTTTTTAAACTCATTATTAAAGTGCCTTTTTGATTTTTTTCATGATTTAAAGCCAGTACATTCTTTATTTTTTATTTTTATTTTCGAGACAGGGTTTCTCTATAGCTTTTTGGTTCCTGTCCTGGAACTAGCTCTTGTAGACCAGGCTGGCCTCGAACTCACAGAGATCCGTCTGCCTCTGCCTCCCGAGTGCTAGGATTAAAGGCGTGCACCACCACTGCCCAGCCCCAGTACATTCTTGAAATACTAATGATTTATGTTTCTTTTAATTATTTTTAGCTCCTTTATAGATGAGAGGATTAAGTCTTCCATTGTTTATAAAATCTTGATCACTGTGTTTCTGTCCTGCCTGGTTCCCGCAGTCATTAAGTCCCAAAGAAATCACACAAAGGTCTACATTAATTATAAACTGATTGGCCCATTAGCTCAGGCTTCTTATTAACTCTTATAACATATTTAGCCCATTATTCTTGTCTATATTAGCACATGACTCAGTACCTTTTTCAGTGGGCAATCACATCTTGCTTCTTCTGTGTACAGAGGGAATCTGTAGACCAGAATTCTCCTGTTCTCATTGTCCCGCCTCTACTTTCTATCTGGTTGTCCCACCTATACTTCCTGCCTGGGTACTGGCTAATCAGCGTTTATTTAAAATGTAATTGACAGAATATAAACCATTGTCCCACATCAAAATCTGACTGTAAAAGTTTTTTGTTGCCGGGCAGTGGTGGCACATGCCTTTAATCCCAGCACTTGGGAGGCAGAGGCAGGCGGATCTCTGTGAGTTCGAGGCCAGCCTGGTCTACAAGAGCTAGTTCCAGGACAGGCTCCAAAACCCACAGAGAAACCCTATCTCGAAAAACCAAAAAAAAAAAAAAGTTTTTTGTTATTTTTAAAGCTGGTTATTATTGATCTTTTTATGAACTGTAGTTTGTAGTAAATTTTTGTAAACAATTTTATCAGTTTTTGATTTTTTTCCTTTGTAATTAATGCCTATTTTAGGTCTCCTGAATTTTCACTCTCCTTACCTACCAGTCATTTCAGATACATAAATTTGTTTTCTGTAGTGTCTATAGTACAAGTAGAAACCATATTATTATATATTACTTGGACTTTACAAGATTGTAGCTGTTTCTAAATCTATAACCTCAACATCGAGTCTAGAAGATCATATCTTTCTCAGAGAAAATGAGCAAATCTTGGTCATTTTGGTCAACAGTTTGGGTTGATAAATGTAAAATCTCTGAAACCTTAGTGAAGTATGTTAACACATTGGTTTCTTTTTGAAATAGGCACGTGGAAGTCCAAGTGTTTGGTGATCACCATGGCAACGCAGTGTACTTGTTCGAAAGAGACTGCAGTGTGCAGCGGCGCCATCAGAAGATCATTGAGGAGGCCCCAGCGGTAAGGAACCTCAAAGGACATTTCCGGGGTTCTCTGGAGTGCAAACCTTGTTCAGTCTTATTTTCATGTCTGTAAAGACAATGTCTCTCATCCCTAGCGTTTGACTAGTAATGCATTGTAAGACTTTGGTGCAAAGCTGGGGACCCATAGGGTTGGGGAGTGATGTGTGGGTTACTATTCTGGGATCAGACACAGGGGAGCCCTGCTCCTTGTGGACACAGTCCAGAAAGATCTACCTCGGTGCAAGTATATGACCAAGAGTTAGCAACTGGGCAGTGACGTGAGTACACGTTTAACCTGTAATTAATTAGGACTGATTGCATGAATAAAATGGAATGATCTGGTCAGTTGGACATCACTTTCATGGAGAAGACTCTTGTTTTAGCCCATGTTCCAGCATGTTCCCCATCTGTGTTGGTCATCTTCTTGCCCAACATTACACTGTTGACAACTTCCCCTTAATACTGTTTCTATCCCTTAGTTGGTCAGGTTGCCAAGAGGGTCAAAGCCAGGGCTTCCTATTTTGAGGATTCTATTCCTGTGGAGCTTACAACTGCCATTGGTGAAACACCAGTGGTTTCTAGTTAACCAGCTCTTACCCTACTCAAAATAGAATTTTTGTTGCGGAATATATTATATATTTGAAGCACGTGTCAACAACTTCAGGAAGGCTTAGTTTTTAAGCAGTGATTACTTGAATGCTATGTGTAGAACCTTGTTGGAAACAGTGCCTGTAGAAGTAGATGGCATCAGATTCCGTTGGGCCCCCCCCAACAGGTTGTGAGCTGCTTGTTCTGGAAATCAGACTCTAACCCTCTGCAGGAGCAATACATACTCCTAACTGCTGACCCATCTTTCCAGCTCAATCCTTGGTCATCTTCTATATAGTTATGAAGGTTGTTATGCAAACACCAGGATAAAGATATGTAATTGTATTGAGTAATATGTGTGGTTCATAGACATTATTAGCAGAAGCATTCAGTTTTGGTATATTGACAGAGAGATTGGTATATTAGCTTTTAATACAGTTATTTAATATACACTATTATCTAATGTGCATTTTAATTATTTTTGCATTCTGGTGGAAATGTATAGAGACAAAGTACTAGTAGGAATTATTTTTTACTCTCTCCCTGTAGCCTGGTATTAATCCTGATGTAAGAAGAAGGCTGGGAGAGGCTGCAGTCAGGGCTGCTCAAGCTGTCAAGTACGTGGGAGCAGGTATGTCAAAACTTCCTCACAAAAATGATTTCATGTCAGGAGACAAGAAGGATATGTGTCAGGTTCCTAGATGTTTTTTTTACCGTATCTGCAGTAAGAAATACACTCTTAAGGACAAACATTTCCTAACCAGTACTTCGCCTAATAGAAGTCTGGTACTTCTATTTCAAAATAAAATGAATAAATTGTGTTTCTCTTTCAAAATGATTAAGTTTTATTTTTAGAGCATAGTTCCTATTTGTTTCTTTAGAGAGCTGAGAACTTTGCCAGGGCCTCACATGTGCCAGGAAATAGCTTTACCATGGAGATGCACCCAGAGTCTTTAAGAGCAATTTCAGGTCACAGCAAAGCTCGGTGATGGGCTGTAAGCTGTAAGATAAATTAAACCCTTTCCAAAGCTACATTTGAGCAAACTAGGGTATCAGTGCTGTGGATTGTTGACCACTTGTTATCCCATTGTTTCATTTGTTCATGGTTCATCTTGCATTCTGGCGATAGACCACAGAGCCTTGAGTGTGCCAGGCAGGTGCTGTACCAATGAACTACATCTCGTCCCTCATTGTTTGAATTTTTATTTCCCTCCTGAGTTATTTGCCATTTCTATATCTACTTTGATAAAGTTTCAGAGTCTTTCATCCATTTTTTTTGCTGTTTTTTGTCTTTTTTATATTTGTTTTATAGATACTCAGTCTGTACTTGGCCTCTCACTTTATTCAGAAAGTCTTTTAGAGAGTGTATGTTTTCAGTTGTGATGAACTCTTACCTGTCAGCTCTCCCATGGGCTGTGCCTTTGGTGTGTGTGTGTACATGTCATTGCTATACCCCAGTTTGCCTAGATATACCCCAGCTTATCCTGTGGGTTATTTTCTAGGGCTGTGGTTTTGCAGTTTTCATTTAGACATATTATCTGTTTTGAATTAATGCTTATGAAAAATAAACAATCTGTCTAGGTTCCTTGTTTTTTTTTTTTTTTTGGAATGTTTTTGTTCCAGTATTATCATCCCAACAAATTATTTGTGAATATCAGTAAACTGACTCTAAAGTTTATTTTAAGAGGCAAAGGACCCCAAATAGCCAAATCAACAATATAGAGAGACTGTGCAATTATATTGCCTGTGCCCTTTGCCATAGGCTAGTATATTTACGTGGGTCTACGTGTAGGCTTGTTTTTCTAGTCCATTGATTCATTCATCTCCTCGTTTTGCAATACCATATACTCTTTGTTTAACTTTAGCCTTTAGAGTAAGTCTTAAAGTCGAGAACTGTTATTCCTTCATCTTTGCTATTTTCCTGTATTGTTAACTCAACAATTGATTTGGGTTTTTTACATTTTTAAAGATTTATTTTTATGTACATGAATAGTTTGCCTGCGTGTGTGTGTGCACAATGTGAGTTGGTGCTTGTTAATCCTCTGGAACTGGGGTTACAGGTGGCCATGATCTGCCATGCGGGCCTTTTGTTGCGTATTTATTCTCTGTGTACGTGTGTGCCTTTTTTTTATTTTCCTTAGAAGTCTAACTGAAGTGAACTAGAAACCCTACCATGTTTGGATTTCCCTTTTCCCAGCCTCAGTCATTTCCTTAGCTGCTCGTCTGATTCCTTAGCTTGGCTACTGTGAGCACAGCTAAGCAGATAGTTGTACCTGTGTGCTCACATGCACACGAGTGTGCCACAGCACACAGGAGATCAGGGGATGGTTGTTTAGAAGTCGCTTCTCTCTTCCACCATGGGATTGAACTGGGGTCATCACACTGGCAGCAAGCCTTCTGAGCCATCTCTCCAGTCCTTTGTTGTAATATGTATTGTTTGACTCCTAATTTTTATTTTATTTTTTTAAAAAAGAAAAACAAACTATCTTTTTCACTTTACATACTAATACCAGCCCCCTACTCCCTCCCCTCTTCCCATTCCCACCACCTTCTTCCCTCACCACCCCCCATCCACTCCTCAGAGAGGGTAAGGCACATAGCTTTGAGGAAGTCCAAGGCCCTCCCTACTATATCTAGGCTGAGCCAGGTATCCATCCAAAGAGAATGGGTTCCCAAAAAGTCAATACAAGCAGTAGGGATAAATCCTGGTGCCACCCGTGGTCCCCCAGTCTGTCCCAGCCATGCAACTGTCACCCACATTCAGAGGGTCCAGTTCCTTTCCTGTCCAGCTGGAGTTGGGGAGCTCCCATTAGCTCAGGTAAGCTGTGTCAGTGGGTGTCCCCATCATGGTCTTGACTGCTTTGCTCATATTCTCACTCCTCCCACTCTTCAGCTGGACTTTGGGAGCTCAGTCCTGTGCTCCACTGCGGGTCTCTGCCTCTGTTTCCATCAGTTGCTGGATGAAGATTCTGTGGTGACATTTAAGATATTCGTCAGTCTGACAACAGGGCAAGGCCAGTTTGGGCACTCTCCACTATTGTTTAGAGTCTTAGCTGGGTTTTTTGATATCTATAACCGGATAGATGCTCGCCCAGTCCCACTGGGCCAGTTTCTTTCTTACCTGCCGGGTCCCTACAGCCACTTATGGAATAATCACTCAGAGGCTAATATATTACATATAATTGTTTGGTCAATGGCTTAGGTCTCTTACTGGCTAGCTTTAACTATAACCCATTTCTAATAGTTTATATTTTACCATGAGGCTCGTGGCTTCCCAATAATGTTCCGAACTGTTTCTCCTTTGGCGGCTACATGGCATCTCCTTGAGTTTGCCTACACTTTCTCTGTATCTTTGTTTGGATTTCCTGCCTAGCTTTACTTTGTTAAGCCATTGGCTAGACAGCTTTATTCGTCAATCAACAAAAGCAACACATATACAGAAGGACATCCCACAACAATGTCTGTTACTGGATTATTGAATTAATTTGATATTCTTTCTTCCTTTCTTATACATTTGCCATTACAAATCCATAAGCACTATCTCACTGTCTCTGCTACATCCATTCATTTTAATTGTATTTTCATTTAACATAAAATAGTTTTCTTTAGTTTTCAGGTGTATTTCATGTGTATGTGTGTGTATGTGTCTGTGTGTGTGTGTGTCTGTGTGTGTGTCTCACTGTGGCTTGGTCATCAGTTGGGTCTTGGTGTATGATCAATCCCTTGTTAAATAAAGTATTGCTGAGTATAATGGTCACCATCGTTGTCAATTTGACAAGACCTAGAGTCACCAGAGAGACAAGTCAGCTGTGCTTGTGGAGTATCTGGATAAAGTTACTTGAGGTGGGAGGATCCATGTTAGTGGACCAGCGTTCATTGCTCTCTTCCTCCTGCCTCTGGACAAAATACGACAGTCTGTCACCGTACCTTACTGCCATGACAGACTGTCCCCTGAGCCCTGAGCCCTGGGCCCTGAGCCCAAATAAACCCTTTGATGATTTGATGAAGGATTTTGTCACAGCAAGAAGGAAAGTAATGAACACATCAAGATTCAGGGACTATGTCATGGTTGGGTTGAGGCACAGTTTCTTACAACTGGGCTGGGATATAGCTCTGTATCATAATATCCATTCATCATACTTAAGGCACCAGGGTATAACTTTCACCATTGAGAAAGAAGAAAACAATAGTAACAGCAACAATGTATTACATCCAGATACAGAAACACTGCAACAACTAATTAAAAACTTTTACTAGCACAATACTAGTAACAAAAGAGGAATAACAAAAGAATAATAAATTAAAATATTTAAAAGGGAATGAAAAATGTAGGAAAAGTTTATTTTTGGAACAAGGTCTCACTATGTAGCTCTGACTGGCCTGGAGCTTACTGTGTTGTCATGGTTTGAAAGAAAATGACACCTAGAGGGACTGGCACTATTAGGTGTGGCTTTGTTGGAGGAAGTGTGTCACTGTGGAGGTGGACTTTGAGATCCTGTATATGCTCTAGCCATACCCAGTGAGACAGCCCACTTCCTATTGCCTGTGAGTCAGATGCAGAACTCTCAGCTCCCTTCCAGCACCACATCTGTCTGCATGCTGACTTGCTTCTCACAGGATGATAACTCAGCCTCTGAACTGTAAGCCACCACAATTAAATGCTTTCCTTCTAAGAGTTGTCATGGTGTTTCTCCACAGCAATAGAAACCATAACTAAGAAGTAGACCAGACTAATCTCCAACTCACAGAAATCTGCCTGCCCCTGCCTCCCAGGTTCTGGGATTAAAGGTATACAAAGCTAGAAAATAAAATTTTAGAATTTAGAAATTTGTGCTAACTGAAAAAAGAGAGAGAAGATCAAATTAAGTATAAACACTGTAGGTGTGTGTTAGCCTTGGCCTAATCCTTAGCATCCCAGAGAGAAGGAAAGACAATAATAAAAGGGAAATAAGCAGGAAAGATCCAGTTAAAACCTTTTAGAGGCAAAATTACACGCTAAAGAGAGAAAGGGTGCACAGAACTGAAGCCTGCGCAGGCCCTGGCAGGCTGTGGCGTGGGGTTCTGTCTGCATCACAGAACACTGAGTTCTTACCACACAGGCCACGGGCACCTTCTCTTCAAGGTTTCTCTCCCACACTGCTGGCCTTGGCATTTCAAGGAATAGCAGTGCAGGGATAGATGGAGGCATCACAAGCTGGAGTTCTGGCTAAGGTCACGACCATGGCAGTAACTGTGATGAGAAAGCCCAGAATGCAGTGTTGCTGACCTCCAGAGCCTGGGTTTCACCACCTATAGAGGTTGGTTTCTTAATAACTATGCAGTAAGAGAATATTCTCCATGTGTGTTCATATAGTACACATAGCATGTCTTTGTTCATATTTAATATAATTTATATGCCAAACTAAACAGGATGCCATCGTTTCTTTCCCTGGTACTGTGACGGAACCTAACAAAAGTTACTTAAGAGAGGATTCATTCTGGCTCACACTTCAAGAGTACTATCCACTGTGGCCCAGAAGTTACAGGAGCAGGAGTCCAGCTGGTCACTGTAAATATACAAACAGGAAGCAGACAGTGATGAATGCCTGCTGCCAGGTAGTTCCCTTTCTTTGCTTACATGGTCTAGGATGCCAGGCATAGACTGCTCCTACATACAATGGGCAAGCCTCCCCACCGCCATTAATCATAGCCAAGCTAATGCCCACAGGCATACCCAGAGGCCCTGTCTCCCTGGTGATTCTAGATTCTTTCAGGTAAGCAGTGAGGGGAGGAGAATTTACACATGCGCGCGCGCGCGCGCGCGCACACACACACACACACACACACACACACACTCTAATAAGATTCCCAAGTGGTCAGCTGAGAAATCAGAAGTAAAGTAAATGGTTTCGGCCTTTGCTGAGCAGATCTTTTAGTGACCTCTGGGAGAGCACAGGCCCTTTCTTGAGTTTTGCTCTCCACCACCTCCCCCTGCCAATCACAGACTGATTTGCGAGGTGGTCTAGTTAGTGATCAATCTTATTTTCTCTGTTCATCTTAAGGCAGCGCTGACCTGTCTGGCTCCTTCTTTGAGGGTTTGAATGAGACTGTCTATCTCCCATAGGCTCAGACGTTTGGTTCCTAGTCAGTGGTACTATTTGACAAGACAATGTGGCCTTGCTGGAGGAAGTGTGTCACGGAGGGCAGGCTTTCAAGTGTCCAAGCCTTAGGCCATTCCATGTGCACTCCGTGTTTCACGCCCTCGGCTTCCTGCTGCAGTCGCCCTCCAATGAGCCTTTCTTTGTAAGGTCCTTAGTCGTGGTGTTTATCGTAATGGATACAGATGGGGTGGGGGACTCCATGCCGGGGTGGGATTGGGTCTTTCGGCTGTGCCTGGTGGGGAGTGAGGGCTGAGCAGGGTTTTACCAGAGCTCTGACCCAACTCTGATATAACAAACGCAACTCCCATTTTTATCCTGCCTCTCCCCACCTTTGTTCCCTTCCAATCCAGACCAGCTTTCCCCAGCACAGAGCTCTCGGCAATTTCCCTTCCAAATCTTTTGCCTGTTCTCAAGGTAGCCCTGAAGGCTGTGCCCAGTGTGTGTACACACCCCTTGCTGTGGGTTCCTTCATACAGAAAGATGTTAGAACCTTCGACTCTTAAGCCAGGAAACTCATTAGACGAGATATTCTCAAGGCAGCCCAAGTGCTACCGTGCTGTGGAATTTTCCCAACTCCTGCCACCCTAGGTCTCAAGTGTGTGGAGGCTGCCTTCCCTCCAGGTGCTGAGGCCTGTGTGACTCTGCTTTCTTGGTCTGCCCTTCACTCTCCACCTTTACCCTACCCCCAGATGCACTTGGCGAGTTTGCCTGAAGCACTTTCTCTCAGCCTTGGCCCTCCAAAGCTTCTGGGTTTTGTCAAGTTATCTGTTCACAATTAAACTTCATGACCTTCCCAGAGTCACAGCTCCAAGAATATCTGCTCCCTGGTTGTTTGGTTCTATTCCCTAGAGAAGTGGGAGATTATGATCTGTTTCTCTAAAATTGTTAAGGAGTTACCTGTAGCCAGAACATGGCCATTCTAGGTGACTAGTCATTGCGAGCTTGAGAATGTATTCTGTTGTGGTCCATCGACAGCAATCTAGTTGGTTGATGGTGCAGTTGAGCTAAGCATATCCGTACTAATTACTGCCTGCCTAACCCGATAGAATACTATCATTTTCAACCACTGTCACCAAGTCATCTATTTCTCCTTGTTCTCAATGTTTGCCGCATGTGTTTTATAGTTGTGTATTTTTGCAGAATTGACCTCCTTATCATGTTTATATTATCATCCTTATGTTATTATTCATCCATGGGAACAGTCTGTGTCTGAAATAGCTACTTCTCTCTTTATTGTTTGTATGAAGTATCTTTCTTCTATACTTTTCATTTAAATCAGTTAAGTCTTTAAAATTAAGTTTCTTATAGGCAATAGACAGTTGGGATCTAATTTCTTTTCTTTTCTTTTTTTGATTTTCGAGTTAGGGTTTCTCTGTAGCTTTTGGTTCTTGTAGACCAGATTGGCCTCGAACTCACAGAGATCCGCCTGCCTCTGCCTCCCGAGTCTGGGATTAATGGTGTGCACCACCACCGCCCGGTGGAGTCTATTTTTGAATCTTACACAATTTCTGTTTTATTTGGTATGGGACTATAGAAATTTAAATTGGTATTGCTGTAGTTCAAATGTCTACTATGCCTGTCTTTGTCTCCCATTTGTTCCCTCTGTTCTTCATTTTTACTTTTGTTTGTTCCTCATTTTCTTCCATACATATATTTTTCCTACTCAGTTCTGTTACTTTCATGGTTTTACTTGAGTATTTTATATGAGTCCCATTTTTCCAATAACACATCAGTTAGTAGCCCCCAAACTCATAACATGCATTCAGATTAATCCTAATCCACTCTCAAATGACAGCCTTGGGCCAGTGAGAGGCACTTGTCATGCACATCTGACCATCTGAGCTCAGTCCCCAGAATCCACACTGGAAGGGGAGAACCAACTACCGGAAGTTGTCCTCTGACCTCCCCATATGCGCCATGGCATGTATGTGCCCCCACGCATAGACACACACAATGATAAAGTTTGAAAACTTTTTTAAGAACTATTATCATTTCATGTCATAAGTACAGGTACTTTATAATAATAATTATATATCTAATATTTCTTTATCCCTTCTGTTATTGCTGTCATGCTCTTTATTTTTATATAAGCACATACATGGAGAAATACATAATCACATTCACTGTTTCTGTTATTTTAAACTGTTCATTAAATCAACTAGCAAGCAATTAAAGCAAAATTAGTTCATTCTACTTTTCCTATTTATTTTCTGATGGTCTTCCTTTACATAGACACATATTTCTTACAAATCTGGCATAATGATTGCATTCATTTGACAAAAATCAGCTCTGTACTTAAGATAATTATTGTATGAAATTAAGCCTAATATCCTGAGGGATGTTTGTTGGCCATGCACTAGGGTCTGGGGCCCATTCCCAGAACTGCTAAGAAAAAACTTGGGGAAGTATTGTAGATCTTGATAGATTACCAGTAGACTTGGAGTAGCCTGCAGCTTAAGATACCGAGCAGTTAAAAAGTCTTCCAGTGTGTCCCTAGCAAGGACTTTTCTAACCGGGAGTAAAGGACAGTACTGAAGACTGAATTTAGGGCCTAGTGCATCTGAGATAAACGACCTACCATGCAGCTACAGCCCTGTTCCTCACGAGGACTTTAAGAGGGAACCACGGGAATGGGGGGGGGGGGAAGGCCTTATCCAGAGTTCACGGCACGAGGTTCCTGGGGTAGGTATGTGGGACAGTAACTCATAGTCCAAACACGTTCTCATTACTATAGCAGATAAGACTGGCGCATAATTTGGGCTCAGCATTTGCTCAGAATTCCAAAAATATTTTCTATTGCTACATTTCATAAAGTTCTCTATTTTAAAGTAAGACTCATTTTTGCTGCAAAATATGGCATTTTCCTCACAAAATACAAATCCTATACTATGAATGAAGTCGGCAGCAGTAAAACTCAGTATGCTGCATCGTAGAAAACCTTTTTAATGAATTTTTAAATTGTATTTTTATTTTTCTGTGTGCGTGGGTATTTTACCTGTATGTGTGCTGTGTACCTTTCCCGTGGAGGCCAGAAGGATGCATAGATGTCAGTTGGTCCCTGAGTGGGTGCTGGGAACTGAGCCTGTGGGAGGCCAAGTGCTCTTCGTTGCTCAGCTCTTTCCAGCTCCCATCCTAGGAATCTTGATTTGCTGCTGCCTCTGTACCGCTGACGTGTGACAACTGCATCTTACCTGCTAGGAACTGTGGAATTCATTATGGATGCAGAGCACAATTTTTATTTCATGGAGATGAACACAAGGCTGCAAGTGGAGCATCCTGTCACCGAAATGATCACCGGAACTGACTTGGTGGAGTGGCAGTTCAGGGTGAGAAGGTTTGCCTAGTGATGCAGTCTTGGGCTATGGGTGGAGCTCAGTGGTAGAGTTGTTGCCTAGTGTGAGTGATGCCTGGGCTCAGTCCTCAGCACTACCAGGAATAAGGTCAGTGTTGAGAATACATTATGTTGTGAACTACTTTTATGCTACTTAGGGTATCGCTCACTTTTGGGGTTGGGATAAGGACAGGAAAAGGTAAGATTAAAAGAAAAAAAAACTGGTCGGGCAGTGGTGGTGCACACCTTTAATCCTAGGAAGCAGAGGTAGACAGATCTCTGAGTTCAAGGCCAGCCTGATCTATAGAGCAAGTTCGGGAAGGCGGTGACTACACAGAGAAATCCTGTCTTGAAAAGGAAACAAAGAAACTGCATCTGAGGCTGCAATGTTATTGGCACTGTGGGAACACAGATTCCAAATGATCAGTTCCCTTCATTTTAGGTAACTGACCCCCTAGGCCCTGGGCTGTGGGCAGGTGAGCTGTGTCATTCTATCTTGTCTTGATCCCGTGGCCAAGCCTCGTGGTCTACCTAAGGTCACAACATTCTGGGCCATGCCACTGTTAGAGTTTAGAGGTGAGACATGCTAGCCAAGATGAAATGACATAGGGAGCTGGGAATGAAGAGCGAGGGGCAAGGTCTTCTAGCAATAGAGCGATCCGTGTATAAAGTTCATTTGCAGACTGTTGTCAGCCCATGAGTAGGGGGTGCATTTGTAGTAGCCATTCACAGCCAGTGTTCAGTGTTGTAGTCTTTGGCACTGCTGATGTGTCTACTACACACCATACACACACACACACACACACACACACCATACACACACAACACACTAGATCTAAATGTAAAAATATGAAAATATTTAATATGAATATCTTGATTTCTGTGTAATTCTTGGTTCATTTTATGTACTGAGTCTAAGTTATTTTTTTTCCATACTTTGATGATGAACTCATGACATTTGGATAACTTTGTCTTTTCAAAACTTCTCTAGACAATATTGTCATGTTTCTTTGGCGAATGATTGGTGGTTCAGATTGAGCCAAAAGATATTTAGGGACCTTGGAAGCTAGAGAAAACCAGGCATACTGAGCTACTAAACATTAATAGTGTCAGATAAAACTAGCAAGTGTGTTTGTTTCTAGAATCAAGAAAAAGGATTTTTTTTCCTCCTGAAGCAATAACCAAGTGATCCCATGGTCTCCTTGCAACTGAAGACAAAGAACTGTGGTTATTTACAGTATCATGAGGGGTGTTGGTGCTGCTGTTGTTTTATTCTAACTTGGTTGCAAAGTTCTCGGGCATGAACTTTGTAGGTGACGGCATCATGTTGCACCGTCAACATGCTGGACACCTGACAGGACTTGCAAATCATGGAGGAATTGTGTTCCTGAGCCTTTAGGAATGAGAAAGAAAACCAGGGATGTTTTTATTTCTGGATCTCAGGAAATTGCAGGAGCTTCCAAAAAGGAAGCTAGCTTTATTCATCCAAGGACACACTGCAGACATGAAGGAACTGGGGCCTCATGTGGGCACGAGGGGCCCTGGAATCATGCATATGAAAAGTAGGGGACCTTGACAGTTGATGAGTCAAGAATTCAAGCTTCAGTCCTGCCTCTAGAATCAAAGACTTCTTAAAATGAGGATTCAGAGCTCACACAGCTGAGATGGGGTTACAGTGCAGGGCCAGCAGGGCTCAGGATACTAAGGAAATCAAGGCTTTCAGATGCTTCGTGTCTCTCTGAGAGGGAAAATGGCACAGAACTCCCAGCCTGAAGGTGTAGCTAGGGCCACTCTCTTGAACTCAGATGAAAGCCAGTCACCTCAGAAAAAGGGGGGGGCAGTAAAGATAACCCAGTTTGAAAGTGGTCTGTATATTAAGAAATCAGATTATCCTAGAACATAGGAGTCTGCTGGTGACTCTAGCATTCATTTTCACAAGGAGCACTGTTTTGTTACCAGATTGCCGCAGGAGAGAAGATCCCCCTGAGCCAGGAAGAAATCCCTCTGCGGGGCCATGCCTTTGAGGCTAGAATATATGCAGAGGACCCTGACAATAACTTCATGCCAGGGGCCGGACCGCTGGTTCACCTCTCCACCCCTCAGGCAGACATGTCTACGAGGATTGAAACTGGAGTACGGCAAGGTAACATTAAATGAGATCAAAGCATCAGTCTAATTGAACTTGCAATCAGTTACTTTTCTCTCAGGTGAGGCCAGACTATGGTGCCCAGACTGGGCTCAAACTCCTGCCTTTGCCTGCCAATAAGCTAGAATAATATATCTCACCATAATACCCAGATTAGACTGTATTATCATTGAGTGTCTGTGTGTGTTGTTGCTGTTTTACATTTTATTTAATTATCTTGTGGGGTTTGGTGTACGTGTGCATGTGGAGGCCCCAGCACAACATACAGGAATGGTTTCTCCTACCTTGGGAGCTGAGAGTGGAAACGGGTTTCACGTGAGGGAGTCCGGCTTTGCCTTGACCTCTAAAGAGAAAAAAAGGAAGATAGACCCGAGAAAACCAGGCGGTGTCACCGAGTCACGTGATAAAGCCTGGTATTCTCCACGGCTAATCCTAAGGACAAGATGGGCAAGTTTTTAAGTCCATCTAAGCCTTGGTTTCGGGGAAGATAAAACTGCTCAGGGCACCTGCCGCGCAGGGTTGGTGAGCGCCTGCCTGAAGTGGCAGGACGCCCTGCTCTGTTTGCTTCTTCCCTCAGGGCTGTGACACTGGCAGGTGACAGTGTCTCTCGATTCTAGGAGATGAGGTCTCCGTGCATTATGACCCCATGATCGCAAAGCTCGTGGTATGGGCTGAAGATCGCCCTTCGGCCCTGTCGAAACTGAGGTACAGCCTTCATCAGTACAACGTGAGTGAGCGCGACGTCCTTTGTTGTCCCCAGAGGCTCTCATTAGCAGACACAAAACAGTTCCTCCCGGGGCAAGGCCCCAAGGCAGAGTGTAGGTTTGGGTGCGCTTTGTTTCAGTCAGGAGGGAAAGGATTGCAGAGATAAACTGTTCTCCTCAGTACACAGACTAGTAAAATCATAGTTGTCCGTCAATCCGGCCAGCTGTATGAGTGAATGTAGTCAGTTTTCTTAATAATATTTATTCTTCATTTTCATCCATTTGACAGTTTTTTTTCTGTATCACACTAATTTCCTTTTTAAATTATTTTACTTTTTAAACAATCTTTTTTACTTTAAATACCAATCGCAGTTACCTCTCCTTCCCTTTTCCCCTCCCTCCAACTTTCCCCCACCCCACTCCCCATCCATTCCTCAGAGGGAGTGAGGTCTTCCATGGGGAGTCAGCAAAGTTGATCATATCACTTTGAGGCAGGACCAAGGCCCTCCTCCCTGTATCTAGGCTGAGCAAGGTATTCTTCAATAGATAATGGGCTCCAAAATACCAGTTTACACTAGAGATCAGTGGCCCCACAAACTGTCCCCCGCATTCAGAGGGTCTAGTTCAGTCCTATGCTGATTCCCCGCTGTCAGCCCAGAGTCAGCTGTTTCTGTGGGTGTCCCCCTCATGATCTTGACCCCTTTGCTCATATTATCGTTCCTCCCTCTCTACGACTGGACTCCAGGAGCTCGGCCCAGGCCTGTGGATCTCTGCATCTGCATCCATCAGGTACTGGATGAAGGTTTTATCCTGACAGTTAAGGCAGTCATCAGTCTGACTACAGGGGAAGGGCAGTTCAGGCACCCTCTCCACTATTGCCTAGATTCTTAGCTGGGGTCGTCCTTGTAAATTCCCGGGGAATTTCCCTAGTGCCAGGCATCTCACTAACCCCATAATGGCTCCCTCTATCAAGATATCTCTTTCCTTGCTCTCCCTCTCTGTTCTTCCCCCAACTTGAACTTCCAGTTCCTCATGTTCTCCTCCCCTCTCCGCTTCTTCCCCTCCCCCATCACATTAATTTTCTTGGTGCAGAAATCCCAAACACCTTAATTTCCCTTCATAGAAGGATTTATAACACATGATTTAAAATTATTGTGTTATTAACCTGCGTCAATTTCTGTGGCTCTCAGCACTGTGGTTCTACTTGCGATCCCTTCAGGGCCCCCATGTGGGGACATGCTCTTACCTCCCCTGTATAGCGTCTTTATCTGCTGTCTGTCCTCAGCCCTGCTTACTTCCTGACTCTATTTCTAGTTGTCCCGTTTAGAAAAGGACACTTTGATGTTCTCTGTCACCTTGGCCAGCCTCAGTCTCTGACACAGCCTTTGAAGGCAGGGGCTGCATCTGTTTTGCCTCTCCCTGTCCCCAGAGCCTGTGTCAGATCCTGGCACCTAAAACTGCTCAGTAAATGAAATAAGGAGTGGATGATTGAGGGAATGCATTCATGGACCCAGAGCCATGGTTACCTTTATCTTTAGTCCCTTTATGTATCTGGGTGTTTGTTTGTTTGTTGTTGAGGAGCGGTAAACTAGGGTTGCTGTTATTCCTTTTTTTAAATTTTTATACCCATGAGTAAACTTTGGATTTAGTACTGGAAGGAAGTTCTTTCCAAACTGTTATTCCAGTTCCCTCTCCAGTACACACTCGCGCCTGAATTTGCAGTCATCCTATTCTGTGGAATGCTCAAAACAACAACTCCCATCTCTTGAAAATACAAAAACGTTCATCATTTTCCTAACCTGAGTCAGTTAAATGTTTAACCCGAGCCAATCCACGTCCTATATCTTGTTTCTCTTCTTTAGCTGGATTTTGAAGTGTGAGTCCAGATGTGCAGTGATAAATCTGGGGACAGTGAGTGTGACCCTTCTCCATGTGACACCTTATTGGGTCACCCAGCAGATGCTTTTCTGAATACGTTGCTTTCCATATTCAGCAGGACCCGGGTTTGCTTCTCTCCCTAGATTGTTGGCTTGCGCACCAATGTGGACTTCCTGCTCCGGCTGTCTGGCCACCCAGAGTTCGAAGCTGGAAATGTGCACACTGACTTCATCCCTCAGCACCACAAGACACTGCTACCCACTCACAGCGTCATAGCCAACGAGGCTGTGTGCCAGGCAGCTCTGGGGCTCATCCTCAAAGAGAAAGCTATGACCAGCGCTTTCAAACTGCACACCCAAGGTACAGAGCACACCTCTTCCCTCGCTGTGTCCCTGAACCAGCAGGCACGTGCTTCTCTTTCTGAGTTTCATTCTTGCCTTTTCTGCTGCCAGTGACTGATCCAATTACTACAGATGTTTTTCAGTGTGGAAAAGAACTCTCCATATATCCCAAGTGCACACATAAGCACTGTTGTGTGCAGTGAATGTAGCTCAACTAATGCCTGTTTAACACTGTGGAAACTGGTCTCCTTCTACCAAATGCTAGTTCTTTCTGTCTCGTGCTGAGCCCTGGTGACTTTGTGCATCCACCACCCCTTGTGGCTTGTGTCATTGTGCCCACCACACCTACGGCAGTCCCCGTGTGCCCACCACACTTACGGCAGTCCCCGTGTGCCCACCGCACCTACGGCAGTCCCCGTGTGCCCACCGCACCTACGGCAGTCCCCGTGTGCCCACCGCACCTACGGCAGTGCCCAGTGCCCGTGTGCCCACCACACCTACAGCACTGCCCTTGTCGCCTAGAGTCTAGGCCACAGGAGATCGAGTCCTTTCTGCTAGCCATATTTCATTACTGTGGTTTTTTTTTTTTCCTCTGTCCTGTAATTCAGTTTCAGTCTGGATAGAGATTGGGGTCCTTGAGGCTGTCAGAGAATGCACTGTGGAAGGGTCTGTTCTGGTTACCACACAGGCTTTCTTCCTCTAGCATGCTGTAGGTGCCTGCCGGACCTCTTCCTGGCAACTGCTTACCTCACAGGCCAGCATATTATAGCCTCAGTCAGCTCTGCATTGAAAGGTTCCCCCCACCAAAAAAACTAATACAAAGTCTGCATTCTCAAACTTGCCTACCCCCACCCCAGTATTTACTCAGGATGTTAAACATTGAATTAAACATAATTGTAATGGTAAAAATAAAACAGCACCATTCCCCAAGGGGCAGCAGCAGGCAATGAGCCATGAGGGGCTAGCTGCGAGGTTGGTGAGAGACCTAGGAGGGTCAGCCAGTCCTACGAGGAGCGGGTGAGAGACAGAGACCCATAGTCACACCATGCAGAGAAAGTGGGTATTTACTTAGTGGGTTATGGAAGGGAAGGGGAAAGGAGAGAGGGAGGGAGAAGGAGGAGGAGAGAGAGAGAGAGAGAGAGAGAGAGAGAGAGAGAGAGAGAGAGAAACAGAGGAGGGGAGAGGAGAGGAAAGAAGGTACCTCTTCAGGAGAGATGGAAAGGAAGCAGAAGGAAGATCTGCTTGCCTTGGGGGAAGGGGAGGGGAGTGGGCGGGGCTTGTCTCTTAAAGGAACTGGACAGACTGGCCTCAAACTCAGAGAGATCCACCTGCCTCTGCCTCCCGAATGCTGAGATTAAAGGTGTGCACCACTACCGCATGGCAGATTAAACATAATTTTAAGTATATTTGTCTTTTATTGTTAGAATTATTATATTAAATGTTTGTGTTTAGTTTATTTGTGTTTTATATATATATGGGTGTTTTGCCTGTATCTGGGTCTGTGCTCCATATGCATGCAGTACTCATCAGGGCCAGAAGAGGGCATCAGATACCCTAGGACCAGACTTAATGGATGTAAACCTCCCTTTATCTGGGAATCAAGCCTGGGCCCTGTGGAAGAGCAACGGCTGCTGTTAACCACTAAGCCAGTTCTTTAGCCCCAGGGTCATTCTATGTTCTTGCCTACTGAAGTATTGTTGTTAGCATCTTTGATTTTAGATTTTTTTTTCAAGATCATTGTATTGAAAGCTTAAAGAATACAACTATATCTTTAGATTTGTTTGCTCTGTTTCCACTTTGTTCCCTTACTCTTTAAATTTATAAGTGTCGCAGTCACAGGCTCCATGCTAGAAGGCTTCAGTTAAGTTCCAGCCTCTGGGTGTATCCAGCAGAGCAAGTCCACCTCAGCCCATAGCGCTGGGCCAGTGACACGGAGACCCAGAGCACGGGTAGAGACTGGGGCAGGGCGAGAGCTGGCTAACAGACACTCAGATTCACCCATAGAAGCTGGGACTTTTCATAGTAAGTCCCTGAGATATAAATCAGGGTATCTTCCTTAAATTTAAAATAGTCAGAGCTGAGCTGCCAATTGAGGACCCAGGGTTTATCTTCGCTTTTGTAGAGTATGCATTTTTGGGGGCTCGATACTTGTAATTTTGTTGTTGCGTTTTAAATTTTTTCTAGATCAATTCTCTCCGTTTTCATTCAGCAGTGGGAGAAGACTGAATATCTCTTACACCAGAAACATGACTCTGAGAGCTGGTAAAACTGGTGAGTAGCGTTCCATCACAAGAGAAAGCAGTGTAGAAACACAGCACCTTAAACCAAAACCGCCTCCAGCCGGCCACGCCCAGTCAGCTCTTGGAGTTGATTGGCTCAGGGTCACTGGTTAATGCTATACATTTTATCCCCATTTCTGTGCTGTTAAGTGTTCTGAAAATATTCTGTAAGACATACTTAGCAAACAACTGAAGCAGAATATGACAAAGTATTCTGAGGAGCCCGGGGCATGACCTGAGGCACGGGCTCTGAGGAGCCCGGGGCAAGGCCTTTCTCCTTGGCTCTTTGTTCTCTGTATTGCTTGCAGGTTTTCTGTTCTAAGAACACTGCTTTTAGATAAGAAAACAGTGTTCAAAACTGTTGGGGGCAGAGGGTCACCCATTGCTCAGGCCATGCCTTGAGATCCACGTGGAATGGGTCACCAGAGCTGTCCCTTAGTGTGTGTCTCATCACATGAGTGTCTGTCTTCACAACAATTAATAAGGAACTAAGGCGTCACTGCTCATGTTTGGATGAAGCTACAGCCGGGAAAGCCAGCCAGGGCACGGCATTATGATGCCCGCTCCTTTTGATACCAACTCCATGGTTTTTCTAATACTTTTTATTTGGGTAGTTTTGTTTTTGTTTTTAATTTTTTAACTGTACTACTTAGGGAAGGCTCAGAGTAAAGACTAACTCACTGTAAAGTTAGAAGCTGGTGGCACCTAAGGCAGAAAGTGGTTACTAAATCATGACCAGGCAGGATACAGAGGGTCATAATCCTGTGACAGCCAGTGACCGTCCCTTCTGCTACAGGATAGTCAGCGTGAGAAGCCAGGGTAGGCGAAGTAGGCTGGATATAGGATGTGAGATAGCCTTGAGCTATGGCAGCTAGCTGAAAAAGCAGGCCTTCTAGTTGGAGTAGCTCCCTGCCCACAGACCAGTAGTCTTCTCTGAGTAGAGCATGACCTTTTGACTCTAGATATCACAGCCCTCACTATTGTGTGGGAAACCTTGCCACCCTCAGCCTAGATGGATGCTGCTAGAACCACACTGGCTGATCTCCAGCCTTCACAAAGGAAGTTTGCTGGCATGGCTCTACTCCGTAGCATAACTGGTTGCCTGTGCGTCCTGGGCGAGTGGGAAGGGGGTTTAACTCATATCACCCTGTAAAGCAGCCTCCAGAATCTGAGCATGTCTTATTAGCAACTCCTGCATGCTGAATGCATGCAGCAGTCAGAAAAATTGCAGTGGCCTTTGCAACCAAAATTAAACAGACAAATTCCATGGTCTACTGTAACTCAGATGAGGCAACTATGCTATTTGGCATGGGTCTTCATTAAACCACTGAGGAGTATTTTGAATCGTGCTGAGTTTTATTCAAATGAGTAAGTATGTAACTGGAAAGCCAGCATGATTGCTGTTCCACAAAGACAGTCTGATTCCGAAGGTGGCTCACTGCAAGTGTTCTGAGGAGTCTTCAGAAACTGCTGATGAGCAGTGACCAGGAGAGTATGCCAGGCAGGAAGCCCCAGCATACTTACAAGTCTAAAGGAAAACCAGTTTTCAGTTTTCTTAATGAAAATGAGCAAGTGTTTCAATAGTTTTGTTTATGACTTGAATTTTTATATATTATCTTGTTGCTATTGGCCGTGTTCCACAGAACCCCTTGTTGGTTCTCAGTAGTAATAATAGCTCAAATTTATTGAATGTTCTCAGATACAGTGTTACACATTTCCCAGAGATTACCGCATTTGCATTTTTCAGAAAAGGCCAATAAGATTCTTGCTATTATCAGTGCCACCTTTATCATCAACTAGTCTTTCTTGGCCAAGGGCAAAGCTCGGATATCAGTAATTTTCCAAAGGTCAAAGAAAAATAATTCAAGCCAGGGTTTGACTCCACATCCTGAGGAATGCGTACTTACGTAATGCTACCCCCTGCTAAATTGCCATGCCTTATTAAATGTGTAACAAGCTGTTTAAGATTCTCTGGTAGGAAACAAAATAACTAGGGCAGGGAATAACAATTCACTCTGTGAAATTATAATCAAACCTTTACTATAATTCTACTTGCATCTATGACACTTAAACACTTTGAATGTTTTGTAATGGGAAGAAAATTGATCTGGTGTAATCGGAGGCATTTTCTTTAGAAAATGTAAGGCGTGTTTATAATATATAGAGTGGAGAATTTTTACCCACCCAGCATGTGTGTATGTGCGTTCATGTTCATGCGTATGTATGTAAGATTTTGCTATTAGGAGTGTATATGGGTGTTGGAGCACTTGAAGGTGGAGGCCTTAGTGTTTTAGTGAGCAGTTTCAGTTTTTTAGTGTTTAATTTTTTTTTCGTTTTTGGGTTTTTTTTTTTTTTGAGAGAAAAGTTTCTCATAAATTGGGGTAAAGAGAGAATCATAAGTGTTTTATAGTTTATAGTAGAAGTCTATTTATGTTCAAAAGAGTGAGTTCAGAGACCTAAACAGACGCTCCCCAAGGACTGTGAACCTGGTGTAAATAGGAGTATGGGGAAGGAGCAACCCTGAGCCAAGAGGCATCTGGAAATATCAACTGGACCATTTTCCCCTTTGCTCGGAGCTGAGCCACACACACAGGAAGAAAACAAAGCTGAGAGCTTTGGACCTTACATATTATGAATTTAAATTTTTTAAAGAAAATGCCTCCGATTACACCAGATAAATTTTCTTCCCATTACAAAAAATTCAAAGTGTTTAAGTGTCATGGATGCAAGTAGAATTATAATAAAGGTTTGATTATAATTTCACAGAGTAAATTGTTATTCCCTGCCCCAGTTATTTTGTTTCCTACCAGAGAATCTTAAACAGCTTGTTACACATTTAATAAGGCATGACAATTTAGCAGGGGGTAGTGTGATATTAGCATACATTCCTCAGTGTGTGGAATCTAACTCTGGCTTGAATTATTTTTGTAATTCAAAGTAACTTGAATATGGAAATGAGAGGGTTGAGATGGGAAGCAGGGAGGGCCCCAAGTGGCCCTCAGAGCCAGTCAGCCTGGGTCAGGAAGAGTATCAGGAAGGCAGGGACGAGACTCCGGACAGATTCTGGAAGGAAAGAACTTGACAGCCAAGTGCTGCCCACTGGACATAGAAGGGCTAGCCTAGGCGAGGGTGAAAAGCATCACACCAGATGACAGATCAGCTGTGCCCGTCTGGAGCTTATGAGTCGGGAGGGACAGTGCTGGAACAAAGACGTTCATTTCCGTGCCAGCGGGACCCAGCTGGGCATAACTGATCAAGGTCCTGGAGGACATCAAGATGAAAACACCCAAGTTGGCAGCATCCGATGATGGCCAGGACACCCGGTCCATGAAATGGTGTTAATGTGCACAGCTCTGATCACAAAAATGCTTGTTGCTGGGAATTGAACCCAGGGCCTTATAGATACTGCACCAAAACACCCACATAAAACTGATTTCCAACTTGGAGAATGGTCTTCACCCAATCCCATATTCATGTACACCTTAAACAATTCCTTACATTCTTATGGTCTGGTGCAGTTTTAAAGCACTTTCCCCTTTACTTAGTGTTGCTAGCATTCCCATACCCACTTAGTGGCCGACCGTGAAGGAACATAGAAAGAGTAGCTGAGCCAAGACCACAGAGGTAGTCAGATGGAAGATTTGGGTCTCAAAGCAGACCTTCTCTGGTCTGATGCTGGTTGACGGCATTTTCTGACTATCACTGCAGCTTTTTGTGTGCAGGTGAAAATATTCAAAGTCCATTTTCAAAAGGGAAAGGTTTGCCAATCCACCTGTGCTGAACCGGATCAGAGACTTTGCTAAGAAAAACATTGTATCCCCTGGAGTTAAGATGTTGCCTTTTCTTGGACTAGCTAAGTAACTTAGAGCTGAGAGGGAGAATTTTGTCATCTCCATTGTTTACATAATGTCTTTTTTTTTCTTCAATTTCTCCCTTGTTCCATAAAGATACAGTCATAGCTGTGACGTATAACCGTGATGGGTCATATGACATGCAGGTAAGCCTTGTTGGTTCTGGTCTGTAGCTCAGAGCCAAAACCTATCTTTCTCATTCTAAGTAGGGTTGATTTTCATTCTCAAATTCCCCTTAAGCCTTTGACCATTGTGACTGTAATGAGAATGTTGTATGCTTTTATTTCAGAGCAGTTTGAAGGACTCACCCTGTATTGTTTCCAACTTGTTTACTAGGTTTGGCTATGATTTCCTTAAGCATAAAAACCTAGCAAAAATAATAGCCTTGGAGCTGGAGAGATGCCTCAGCTGGTAAAGGCTAGGCTCACAACCAAAAATAAAATAGCCTTGAACTAAACAGCTCATAAGCCCCTCAGGTATGTGCACACATTTCACCAAAATAGCAGCGCTCGGATTTTTGGGCTTAGAAATCCTATACACACTTAAAAATTATTGATAGGTCAGATTGCAAAGAACTATTAGAAAAATTAAGAAAATTAGGTGGACAGTGTAGTGGCACAGATACCTTCGTGTTGTTGTGGAACCATAGCCACCACCCATCAACAGATCAAACCAAAAATTCCCCTATTTTGGTCCTCTATTTTTTGACAATTTCTATCATAAATACAATGTATTGTGAACACCTCTTCCATTGCCCTTTCTTATTCCTCCCCCATCCACAAGACTTCCTTCTCCCCAACTAGCCCCCTCCAACTGTCCTGGCTTCATTTTAATCCACTGAGTTAGTTAGGGTTGCTTGTGAAAGCATGGGTGAGAGCTGTTTGTCCGCCCATAGGCAACTCACCGCTGCTTACACCACTTAAGAAAATGATGCCCCTTTCCCAGCAACCATTAACTGCCAATCGCTCCCTCCCTCTTCCTCCTCTTCCTCCCCTGGAAGGCCTGGGAACTGGTGGGCCTCTCTCCATCCATGACAAATGTTGAAGAGACTAGTCTTATGCGGGCCTTGTGCGGGTGCCGCTGTTGCACAAATGCCACCAGGAGCGGCTGCACAGTAGTTCTGCAGAGTCACTTCGTTTTTTGCGTACATGTCCAAAAGTAGAGTTGCTGTATCATGCACTAATTCTATTTTTCATTTTTGGGGAACTGGAGCAGTGGCGGCGTTCTCCATTCTCACCAGAGTGCCACAACATTTTCTGTGCCACAGGGCTTTCACCCCATCTTGTTTAATAACAACCATCCTCATGGGTACAAGTGGTCAGGTGTTGAAGCTCTGATTTTTAGATGACTTAAGGATGATGGTTTTTTTGTTTGTTTTTTAGTTACTTGCTGGCCATTGGTATGTCTTCTTGGGAGAAATTTCTCTCTGTGACTTTTGTGTATCTATATTTTAATGCAGTTATTTTGTTGTTGTTTTTGAGTTGTGGGAAAACTACAAAAAATATAAAATCTAATATCACACAAGTACTCAATGCATTAACCATTGTAAGTGTTATATTCTCACAAGTCCAATGGCTTCTAGAGACTTCTGCTCCATACTCAAGAGGGGGAAAATGCTTTAAAAGGCAGATAGCATCTTGGTCCTATTATGAAAAGGATGATTTTGCAGTTTCTCTAAATGGCTGTTGGAAAACGCTAGAAATCTAAATCATGTCGCTCCAGGGTAAAGCTTAGGCTAGCCTTTAATTAAAATAAGTCTGTTTTCAAAATGAAATGCTAAGAAGGTTCTTATTGTTATTTATTCTTTTATGTGGGTCTCACTCATGAATCTAGAGCCCATGTGGAATTCAGAGAACAATTCACAGAAGTCAGTTCTCTGTTTCCTGTGAGTCCTGGGAATCAAACATGAAACTCAGGTCATCAGGCACCGTACACTGGACCTTCTTACCTAGCTTCTTAAGAAGGTGTCAAAAGTTGGAACTGAGCTACAAGTTTAGCAAATATATCACGTTTCATAAGAACTGAATGATTTCAAATTCTGAATGGATTTCCCAGTTACATGTGTTAGACCTCCCAGTGCTTTGAGACCTAGCAGTTTTCTCTGTCTCCGCACCAGCTGCGGGAAGTCACCCACTTTGATGCATGCACCATGCTTTCTTCATATTGGCGCCTCTGCTTTGGGGCCCTTTCTTGTTCCTTGATTAGTAAATTGACAGCTGTCCTGTTGGTTTATGGGAATAAATGTACATTTGTGGATTTTTAGACAAAACTTTTATACCTTGAGATTTCACACATATTCAAATAGCTGTTTTAGTAGCTTGCAGGGTGGAGTAAATGTCATGTTTAACTTCAGGGAGATGAGAATTAATACAAATTCTGCCGTGCAACCTACTTCACTTTAGCCCAAACAGCATATTCACAAAGAATAGACAGACTCTATTCTAATATGATAGGAATTGAAAAGGAAAACATGGATTTAAGTGGATTTTCTGTGTTGAGGGAAGTTTTCTCTTGCGTGTAATTCAAGAGAACACTCTTGGAAACAGGAAAATGTATCCTGTTGCCAGCTGCCTTGAGACCTAAGTTCTCTTCTGACACAGCCTCTGAGAGCAAGACAACTGTAACCAGTTCCTGTCCTTTCACCTGACAGCCACAGCCCGTGGAGTCAGCCTTGTGTGGAGGAATGCCCTCTCTGCGGTCTAGCTTTGCTTTCTGTCATTGCTGACCTTGGCACAGGGAAACTCTTAAGAACTCAGAAATGAATCCAAGCATGTAATATAGCCAGGGGAATTGGATAATTTTGTTTGGTTTCTACTTACTTATTTGTATTTTGAATTATATATATGTAGAGGGTAGGGGTATGTGCATCTGGGTGAAGTTACCTGAAAAGAACAGAAGAGGGCATCAGAGCCCCTGGAGCTGGAGTTACAGGAAACTGAGCTAATGACATTGGTGCAGGGAACCGAACTCAGGTCCTGTAAGAGCTGCATACGCTTGGCACTGCTAAGCCATCTCTGTAGCCCTTTGGTGTGTACTTTTATTTGACATTTTTATGCTGCCCCTTCCATTCTTAAATGAACTTCTTCTGTGGCATTATGCTGATATGGATAACATAGTTATTTTTTTCTTTTAATTATCTTACAGCTGTTTGTATTTAAATGTTCTGGTTAGGATCTCGGGGTGGGGTTCTTCATGGTACCTTGAAAAATACATCTTTGAAACTGCTAATAATAAAGACACTGTGGTTTTATTAACTCTACATTGTCATTTATTTTAAAGACTTTTTTTTTTTTTTCAGATTGGAGATCAGACCTTCCGAGTCCTTGGTGATCTTTGCAGTGAGGGAGGCTGCACCTACTTGAAGTCTTCTATTAACGGAGTAGCCAGTAAATCCAAGTTTATCATCCTGGACAACACCATCTATTTCTTTTCCATGGTGATGTCTCACTCTTGTCTCGTTTTGATGAGGTTTCAGTCTGCAGCCCAAGCTGGGCTAGGACTCACGGCAATCCTTCTGCCATAGTTTCCCAAGTGTAGGATTAGGTGTAGGTAACCATGTTTGGGTTTGATGATGTCCCTCTCAGAGTTGGGATGGAATTGATTAACCAGAAGCATTTCACGTCCGCCACTGAGATCATGTTCCCCCTTCTGTATTTCTTTGCCACAGTCCTACGTTTCTAGTTCCATTTATCTGTTTTATTCTCACCGAGTCTCATTGTTAGACACGACAGTTTTCTTCTCTGAATTCAGAAATGGAGCTTGCACTCTCCTTGAGAGGCTCTGCCCTCAGTGCTGGCATTCTCTCATACTTTACCCGGACTCCTCCCCCTGACACTTGGAATCTGGGGTGGGGGAGAGGTGACCACTGGGAAAGCAGTCTGGACCAGATGCTTCTGGTTAGTGGTGATGACTTGGCATTCAGAAGAGAGCCAGAGCGAGCTTGGCTTAGCTTCGGTGTAGAGCCTGATGACCAGTGAGTCTTCAGCTTCTGGGCAATGGAGAGTAGACGGCCACATCAAGATGGAGAGTAGACTCTCCGTCAGAGATGGGGCCACATCAAGATGGACAGTAGACTGTCCTTCAGAGAGATGGGGCCATGGAGAGTAGACTGTCTATCAGAGATGGGCCACATCAAGATGGAGAGTATACTGTCCATCAGAGATGGGGCCATATCAAGACGGACAGTAGACTGTCATCAGAGAGATGGGGCCATGGAGAGTAGACTGTCTATCAGAGATGGGACCACATCAAGATGGAGGGTAGGCTGTCCATCAGAGAGATGGGGCCATAGCAAGACTACACTGTTCATGGTGAAATGGCTTTAGTTCTTACTGTAGAGTATCTTCCCCACAGTAAGGATGCTACTAAAAATCACTTCTAGAAGTATCCATCATGTCATCTACAGTCCCTGGCTAGGCATCTGTACCATTACCTCTGTGTCATGGGAGATGAGACTGAGTGAGGCTTAGTGGCCTTAGGTCACCAGGCTTCATTAGAACCCAGGGGTTGATGGAACCTAATTCTCACTAATAGCTTGAAAGCTGTCGATCCCTCAGGTGTACTTGTAAAAATAAAGAGATGAGACCTTGATTCTATGTTCATTGTTTTGTATAGGAAGGCAGCATTGAAATTGGCATTCCAGTACCCAAGTACTTGTCTTCAGTGAGCTCAGAAGGAACTCAGGGAGGTGCCATCGCTCCTATGACCGGAACCATTGAAAAGGTAATAATCAGGAGACACTGATACAATGATGCCAGAAACGGCTAGTACATGTCTTTTTGGAGTTTGGTGTTCCCTTTCTTTCTCTATTCTTTACCCTCCTAAATTTTGCTCATTGGAAAGCACTCAAAGAAAGTAAGAAGACTGAAGTGTAGTGGTTCAATTGTCAGTGTACATACAAGTACCTGTTTTTTTGATAAAGATTACTGTGGTTTTGTTCTGGGGTGTATGTACATGTGTGTGCTACATGTATGGGCCTGAGTTCAAATCTAGAGCCTCAGACATGTTGAGAACTCTATACCCGAGCTCCACCCCATGACTTCTAGGGGAGGGTTGTTTATTTGTTTCCCAATTTTAATTTTATTTATGTGTGGGGGTGCATGCATGTCTGTGTGCCACGTGTGTATAGTGCTCATAGAGGCCAGGAGAGGGTATCGGCCACGGCAAATTGAGGCGTAAGGGTCACCTGAATTTGAGCCCAGCCTGCACAGCAAACATAGCAGGGCTCTGTCACAACAGAAGTGCAGTTAATGCTGACTGAGGAGTATAGCTCAGCAGCAGAGCCGGTGCACAGCCTCCGGGGGCTCAGCGGCAGAGCCGGTGCCAGACTTGGCTCCAATCTCCAGGGCTAAGGAAAAGAAAGAGAGCTAGGAGGGTGAATGAATTAAAGCACATTTTTCCTTTCCTCAGTGTCGCGTGTCTCAGGCAGCTCTTGAACTCCTGGGCCAAGGTGGTCCTTCTCAGGTGCCACCACACCCAACTCGAAATGTAGTTTTAAGAATGAAAATGGAGTGTTCACCAAAGATGATCTAAAGTCGGTGTTGTAATATGAAGTTTAACATCATATACAGTTTTGTCTTGAAATAATGACATATCACCTATGTGTTACAATGAGTTTAGATGGCTGGTACTGGGGGATCCACGTGGCTCCCGGTGGGGTACAGCTTGGAGAGGAAGCTGTTTGTTTTTGTGGTTTTGAGACAGAATTTCATTATGTAGCCGGGCTGTGCTCAGACTTGGAGCACTGGTCTTGCACAAGCACACACCTCTACAGCCAGCAAACCAAGTGGTCTGAGCAGTCTAAGCGTAGTGCAGGGGCATTCTTCTCTTAGCCCATGTGACTGCCAGCACTGACTTCCATACTCTGAGGAATTGAAATACGTAAGTTTATTCTTGTAGGTTCTGGAAGTTGGGAACATCTCAGCTCACTGGCTGGTGAGAAGCTTGCTTCTTGGTGTTACAGTGGACACACCATCTCCTCCCAGTGTCCCCACATGGTCGAAGGGCACAGGACCTCTCTCGGGCTTTCTCTGTGAGGGTCCAGACCCCTGCTGACCTAACCTAGGTCCAAACCTTGGGTTTAATATTTCAACATAAATTTCAGCAGGGCACAGACATTCAAATGGTGGCACAGGACAATCTAGTTTCTATGGGGATAGATATCTGGTCTCCCCGTACATTAAGTCATAGCAATCCCACTGTGACTAAAGACTGGCTGAGAGAGTAAAACCTTCCTCACATAGGGTGAAGTCCTGGGTTCATTCACCAGACTGCAAAAACAAAGTCCAGCTGTATATTTTTGGAAGGAGGGAGGGAGGGAGGGGGAGGAGGAGGGAGGGAGGAGGAGGGGGAGGAAGGGAGGGAAGGAGGGAGGGAGGGGAAGGGGGAGGAAGGGAGGGAGGGAGAGAGAGAATGAATAGTTATTTAGTCTCCCACTGTTTTTCACTGTGAGCTGACAGACTTAGCTCAATCTCAGTTCACTCAAGCCTCCCACAGTGAGGGGTGCCTGCAGAGAATGTTCATCTTCCATCTGAAGATGGGCACAGTGGCTTTGGGAGGCTGTACTGAAGATGGGTGATCTTTGGAGCATCCACAGATGCTTGTTGCCTATGACTGTGAGATCTAACTCTCCCGGCAATGCCTTTATAGACTGTTTGGTAACTATTAACTAAGGAGCACTTGGTCTATACATACTCATTAGTCTTGTAGAACTGGAGAGAGGGGTATCTTTTGGTGTTGTGAGAACTATTTACACATTTGTAACACAAACTAAAGAAGTGGTCAAGAGCCTCATCCTCTCCTCTAAGACATTGACAGCTATCCATCTTTGCCTGTGTCATTTATGTGTACATTTTCCTGTATCAGACATCCAGGTCTGTCCTGATTATATTTATGAAAAACAAAACAGCAGCACCAAGTTATGGAAAACCCATTCATCTGAACCAGACAAAGCTAGGTCATAACCAAGAAACTAAGCATACGCAGTCAACAGCACTAGCAATGCTGGGTGGACCTGGTGATCTCCAGTTTACCTGCTACATCTGCCCTTGGCAAACAGACATGTAGGCATGTGCTTCTGTTCCATTTGTTTACATACCAATTCTGGAGAGCAAGAAGGACCTGCGTTCTAATGCATCCCTCAATCTCTAGGTGTTCGTGAAAGCTGGAGACAGAGTGAAAGCCGGAGACTCTCTGATGGTTATGATCGCCATGAAGATGGAGGTAGGTGGAATCCCTAGTCTAGGTGCCGAGTAAGCCTTGAGAGCAGCCCAGCCTAGATGTTCTTTGCTTTATTTGATGGATAATAATATTTTAAATACTAAGCATCAGGAACTGGCTAAGTATTAATCTCAAGAAGCTAAAGCAACCATCTTTCTGGTAAATACATTTTTGTCTTGTGAAGCCTCCCTGCCTTTGTAAACTTACTGAAGTATCCTCACTGAACACTCTCTGTCGCTCTTTCCTCGAGTTGAATTACAGTGACAAGTGCTGGTTAGACTGTAGGCCAGCAGCTCCTGGCCCTAGGCAAATACTATCACTCTGGAAGCTTTGTAGACCTGCTTCTGGAGATAAATTGACCTGGGACCTCCAGCAGGAAGGCCTAGTTGCAGTGCTGGGATTGTCCCAGAGCTCTGCAGCTAGTGGGGTACACTCACTGGTACCCCAAGTCCTAGTACTTCATGTAAGCTTCTCACATGAATGTGTGGTGTATAGCCTGGTTGAGATTGCTCATTAGACCAGAGATTCCGGGTCACATCCTTGATGGTGTTACTGCGCAACGTAAAAGTTTCCATTTTCTCTGTGGATGGGGTGCGTATAAACAAACTGAGAAACGACACAGCATTGAAGGTATTAGCTGTGTTTTCTTTTTTTTTTCTCCCTCTCCTGGCCCCCGCTGACATGACTACCATGGCTCTTTGTGTCTCTACAGCACACCATAAAAGCTCCAAAGGACGGCAAGATAAGAAAGGTGTTCTTCAAAGAAGGGGCCCAGGCCAACAGACATGCACCGTTAGTGGAGTTCGTGGAGGAGGAATCAGACTAAGGCACGCCATAATGAACTGTGTCCATCACAGAGAGCCGGCTGCACAGCGTCTTAGCTGCCTGGATACAGCAAGTGCCTCTTCAATCTAAATCCCGGAAAGAGGAGCTTTATTAAATAAGATGATGGGATTGGATGAAAGCCCTTTCATACTCACAAGTTATCTCAAAAGGTTTCTTAGGAGCCGGGCAGTGGTGGCACATGCCTTTAATCCCAGCACTCGGGAGGCAGAGGCAGGTGGATCTCTGTGAGTTTGAGACCAGCCTGGTCTACAGAGCTAGTTCCAGGACAGGCTCCAAAGCCACAGAGAAACCCTGTCTCAAAAAACCAAAAAGAAAAAAAGAAAAAAAATCAAAAGGTTTCTTAGAAATAAAACTGAGCTGTATTTTTTTTTAATTTTGGGAACTAATGTTTGCCTTAAATCTTACATGTTTACTCTTTTAAGAATGGGGTAGAGGGCAGCTTGATCTAAAGAGGAGTCAGAAGGAAATGCCATGGAAATGAATGGCTCCAGTTACCCTGATGAAAATATCAACAGGACAGAAACGTCCTTCATAGGCAGGGTCCCAAGCTGAACTCAACCAAGGGTAACTTGAGTAGTTTAAAACATGAGCATTATTTGTTTCTAGACCTTTTATTTGGAACGTTTCTCTTTAGAGTCTTCTGCCTTTATTGTATTTGTGGGGAGCCTGGGAAACCCCAAGTGAGTGAAAGTCTTGACTAAATGTGTGCTGTTGACCTGGGCACAGTCAGGTCAAGGACCTTAGCCTTCGACTCAAGGAAAATGGCACTCACTCCCCCATCTTGAGATTCCCCTTTCGGGTGGGGGGGTGGTAGGGAGTGAGGCTCAAAGGAATTTTTGTTTCCTGTGCAGTATATTGATCCTGTGTGCAAAACTGTCCACCATAGCCTTCTACCTGGGGTAGGAGGTCCTTCTATTTATGTGTTGCTTTCATTGGTTAAAGAATAAAGAAACTGCCTTGGCTTTTTGATAGGGCAGAACTTAGGTAGGAGGGGAGACAGAACTGAATGCTGGGAAGAAGAAAGCAGAATGAGAGACGCCATGGATCCTCCACCTAAGATGAACACTGGTTAGAATCTTTTCCGGTAAGCCACTGTCATGTGGCGACATACAGATTAATAGAAATGGGTTAAATCAAGATGTGAGAGTTAGCCAATAAGACGCTAGAGATAATGGGCCAAGCAGTGATTTAATTAATATCATTTCTGTGTGGTTATTTCGGGGCTAAGCTAGCTGGGCAACTGGGACAAACCAGCAGCCTTCCAAGCAGCTCAGAGGCACAAGTGGGCCTCTCCTTACAACAAACTTAGTCAACAAATGGCACCCACATGGACAACTGCATCCACATAAAGCCTGAGAGATGGGAAGTAATTCTAGACATAAAATAATAGAGTTAAGCACTTTCTCGGGTGGGCTCTGCTTGCTAGAGGCAAGCGCTCTCATTTAATAGAGGCTTCCTGACTCAGCTTTAGTTGCAAAACCTTGTAGCTCTTTTAAGAGGTCCTGCCATGAAACACTTAAATGGTGTTGATGAAAAGCTGACCACATGTATTTTAGTTTTCAGCTGTAGCAGGAAAAAAGCCACGCCACTTTAAAATATTGGCTTTCTGGGCCATCCTGCCAGTGCAAATTCTGACTCTTTCAGGCAGGAGTTCTGGCTACAGAGCACACTGCTGCAGCTTGCTTGCTGGCAGGGACCTGGAAACACCATAGAGTTGTGGCAGTAAACATGGCTACTGCTGGTACCTCTGTCATGAGGTTGGAATCTCAGAAAGCTAAGGAATGGGCTGGATCCAGCTGTCAAAGCCACAGCTTTAATCTTCTCCATATTGCTTAGCTCACATGGTCAGAGAAAGAGAGATATACAGTAAAGCGAGATTCAAAGACAAAGAAAACCTCTAAATGTTTTACAGTGTATTAAAATATATGCAGGCTTGGGAGAGAAAAGAAAAAGGTTAAAGTCCTTAAAATAAAAAAAAGTAATGGAGTGTGGTGGCACACACCTTTAATCTCAACACTTGGGAGGCAGAGGCAGGCAGATCTCTGTGAGTTCCAGGACAGCCAAAGATATACAGAGAAACGCTGTCTCAAAAAGCCAAAAATTAAAAGAAATAGAGGTTAAAATAAAGCCATGCAAAGATGAAAAATACAGAGTCTGGACACTGTATGTTATTATGCTCTCTTTGAACTGTTTGAATACTGAGAAAGGAGAAACAGCTGCTAAAAGATATTTGCTTATAAATGCTGCTGAATTAATCCAAGATAGGTATTTTGAAAATACCTTGACTTCAAAATTGAAGTCAAAAGATATGTTACTTTGGAGAAGAGGTTTTGCTTTTGTTTTCACAGAAAAATGAGAGGCTATGGATTTATTCTGACTTAAGAGAAATCAGATTTGATCAAGGAAGACCACCTGAGAAATCTCAGGTAGGAACAGATGGTCCAGATGTCTGAGTTCTACATCCAGAACAGATTCAAGATGCTGCCTGAGATGATCAAGCCTTACAGAATACTCCAGTCAGGACTTGATCATAATTCTAAATTTTCTTTAGGTTCCCATAAGATTATCAGCACCCCCAACCAGCAGGAAGTATTCTGGAAAACTATGCCCACATTCCCCCAAAATGGATTATGGATATTTTCCTTTGTTTAGAATGTTAGTTACAAGTTGTTTTGGCTAATGGTCAGGAAAAAAAGCTAAACAAAGGATATTAGATTCAGAGTGTTTGTTTGTTTGTTTTTTTAAAAAGAGGGGGAAGTGCTATGGGACAATGGTCTGTATTCTGTCAATTATATTTTAAATAAACGCTGATTGGCCTGTAACCAGGCAGGAAGTATAGGCGGGACAACCAGACAGGAAGTATAGGCAGGTCAATGAGAACAGGAGAATTCTGGGAAGAGGAAAGCTTATTCTGCAGTCCTGACCCAGCCACATAAGAAGCAAGATGTGACCGCCTCTGCGAGAAAGGTACCAAGCCTGGATGTTTACAGCCTGCTCTCCTTCAGAGACCACCCCCACGAAGATTAGCTAACCTGTTGGCTCCCACCCCCCATATATACCATAAACACTGCCTCTTTGTTTATACCATAATTTCACCTCCTTGTTCAACTTTATGCAATAGACATTCTGCATATCTAAGGTGCTGTGATTTCTCTATCAGAGAGTCCCATCTATCTAAGCCCAGTCTTGTCTTTATTCCCTAGCCACCCCAGTCAGGTCTGTCTTTGGAGCTGTGCTGGGCATGCAATATTGCACCTGCTAAGTGTGCATTTTAAAGTGTTTGTATCGTGCTAGAATGTTATTTACCTTCAATTTGTATAAATTAAAAAAAATAGTTCTGCTCAAAGAATAGACAAAAGGGCTGAGGAGATGGCAGAGTGTTTAAAGCGTCTATGCAAAAACAAGAGGGCTGGAATTTTGATTCCCAGAGCCCATGAGAATGCCAGGTAAGCATGCCAACTTGCCTGCGATTCTACCCTCAGAAGACAGAAACTGGATCCTTGGTATGAGCTAGCTAGCAAGCAAAACTAGCCATAGCAGTAAGCGCTGAGTTTGGTTGTGTGTGGAAGCACAATTGAGGAAGGTCATGGCCATCAACCTCAGGCGTCTCCATGCATGGCTCACACAAAGAAATGGGGATGGGCTAGGACGAGGGCTGCGAGGGGCTTGAGGAAGGCTGGAGTGCAGCAAGTTTCTGTGGAGTCCTCAGGGAGTGGAGTTTGGGTAGGAGGAGGAGAGGCACCTGCAAGCAGGCTGCTGCAGGGCTGGGGGATGAGACTGGAGATAGTGCAGTGGAGGGTAGACAGGCAAGGATTTCCCAGTCAATAGCTAAGTCATGTCAAAAAGGAAGTGATTCCAAAGGCAGTAGTGACCGCAGTGCCAGAGTCAGAGTGTGGGTCTCAACGTCTGAGCACATGTCCTAGTTAGGATGCCCACTCAGTCACCTAAGGCGAAAGCTGGCTGGTATGAAAATGGGCATTTCCATGAAAGTTATGTGGGCAGATGTGACCAGGGTAAGATTCACTAAGGAAAACCCAGGGCTAGAGGATTTAGACTTAGAAGTCAGGCAGCAGCAGAGCCTCACTGAACAGTGAGCCAGTGTCCTGTGCCTGAGCAGGTTTGCACAACTGGAGGAGAGATGCTAAGTTGGCCAAGCTACACGAGAAAAGTGTGTAACAGAGGCTGAGGAAAAGTCCAGCCTGGAAGTGAAAAATGGATGAGGAGCTAGTAATGATTGTTATGGTAAAAATAAAATGGTGCATTCCCCAAGTGGCTGCAAACACTGCAGGTGCCCTAGTGGCAGAAGAGGACAATGGGCCACGAGACCACGGCTGGCCACGAAAGCAGCTGGTCCCAGGCAGGGAGCCACGTGGCAGATGAGAGATAGAGACATGGATAGATACACCATGCAGAGAAAGTAGGTATTTATTTAGTGGGTTATGGAAGGGAAAAGGGGTAGGAGTGAAGGGGGAAGAGCAGAGAGTGGCAGAGAGAGAGAAGTGGGGAGAGGAAAGGAGCCACAGCAGCAGCTACCTCTTCAGGAAGGAACTCAGGCTTGATTCAGTGGAGAGGGGAGGGCTTGTCTCTTAGAGGGACAGGACAGACGATTACAGTGATTGTATAGAATTATATAGAATTACGTTTTTAAGCAATGAATTGAGGAACCTGCCTGACTCCATTTTGAAGGCAGGGGCCATTATACTGTATTTTACAAAATAAGTTTATTTACTGTGGAGATCAAGACGGTGAGAGAGGGGTAACATTTTGACTGAGCTTTAAAGGCCAGCCATTTGCCACACAGAGAAGAGAGATGGTAGTAGTGTCAAGACACCAGGCATCGGGACTAGCAGAAGCTAGAAGGAGCTGCAAGAGAGCAGGAAACCACAGTGTTTGGGGAAGAGTGCCCCACCATGGACTGAACAACAGAAAAGGAAGCTGCTGCCCATGGAGGCAAAGGCTTCTTGTGCCCCCGTCTGTACCTGGAGCTGGGGGCTGATGAAGACTTCCTAACAGCTTATGGTTTACAAGTGGAATATTGTGCACAATTCCAAGTACACCTTGGAGAATGTGGAGGCCATCCAGAGGAGACCAAAGGCAGGGCCTAAGGTTGGGGGCTGAGTAGGGAAGACAAACCTTGGTGTATACACATCTCAACTTTGTATTTAATTTCTCTGAGACAGGGTCTCGCTTTGTTGTACTAGCTGGCCTGAAACTCATTATGTAAACTGTTGTGTGACAAAACATTTGCTGGGGATGCAACTCATATAACTGCTAACTCCAGATAGGAATCCCAGTATAGACCAAAGTACAGAGACCACCAATGTCAAACTTTGTTGATATAGGAGCGGCAGGGCTGCGTCCCCGGCACCCGGCCACCCGCATGGCTAGCTTATGCCCGAAATAATTACACGGAAACTGTATTCTATTAAACACTGCCTGGCCCGGCTAGTTCCAGCTTCTTATTGGCTAGCTCTTACATATTGTTCTAACCCATTTCTAATATTCTGTGTAGCCCAAGAGATGGCTTACCAGGGAGGATCTTAACCTGCGTCTGTCTGGAGCGGGAGAATCACGGCGACTCCTCTACTAAGCTTCTTTCTCCCAGAATCCTGTTCTGTGTACTCCACCCACCTAAGGGTTGGCCTATCAAGGGGCCTAGGCAGTTTCTTTATTAATAAGAAATCACTCCCACATCAAAACTTGTTTTTTTTTTTTCCTTTTTCGAGACAGGGTTTCTCTGTGGTTTTGGAGCCTGTCCTGGAACTAGCTCTTGTAGACCAGGCTGGTCTCAAACTCACAGAGATCCACCTGCTTCTGCCTCCCAAGTGCTGAGATTAAAGGCGTGCGCCACCACCGCCCAGTGAACCAATGAGTTTTACAGGGGTTATAGAAGTATGGTGAGGGGTTACTTCCAGGAGCAGAAATGACTCAAAGACAGGTGCACCATCAAGGCCCTTCCCAGCCCACAAAACCTAGGAACCTGGAGCACACTGCACAGCCTACAGGGAGTTCAAAAGGTTGGAGAGTGTTCTTTTCAAATGACTCTGGTCTAAATCTCTCCCAGGCTGACTTTTTTTTTTTTTTTTTTTGGTTTGGCTTTGGGATTTTTTTGATTTTTTTTTCTAGGAAGCAGGTCTGATGTCAGAGTTTTCTTTGCAGACTGGCTTTTTTGACAGTCTTTGCAGTCTAGATTAGGCAGTTTGAGAGTAATTCTCAGCTTTTATTGCTTACTCTGGCAGGAAGGGGCCTAGTGAATCTGGTCAGTTTCCGCAACTTCCTGAAGCCACTTTGAGTTACGATTCCCTTGAGGTGGGAATGTTTCAATCTGGAAGGAAACTGTTACACAACACAGACCCAGTGGCCCTGAAATTGCAGCAGTCCTCTGTCTCTGCACCCAAGGGTCAAGATTACAGGTATGAGCTACCATTCTTGTATTTGTTTTGTGACAGGATCTCTTTAGCCCAGGCTGGCCTTGAACTCATAGCAGTTCATAGCAGTTCTCCTACCTCAGTTTCCCAAATGCTGGGATTGCAGGCTTGAAACACAATTCTCAGCTACATGTCCTTAATTTAAAGGTAGTTCTTCTGGGTTAGAGGTGTTTTTCAGGGGTAGAGTGCTAGCCCAGCATGAACAAGGCTCTGGGGCCCATGTAGAGAGAGGAAAGGAAGGTCAGGGCCGGAAAAGGGAGCTAAGTTCAGCCTGGCTGGTGGCTCTTGCAAACATCAGGTCCTTGGGTGATGATGAGCCTTGGTTAAACATGCCTCAGCCAGTTGCTTCTCTTCCCCCTTTGTCTCTAGTCTATTCCAGTGACACCATGACACTTGTCAACCACAGGAGATTATATGACTCTCTAGGATAACCTCCAATGTTTGCCAGGCTGGCATGTCATTGGAATCTGTGAGCTAAAGGGGTCTCAGTAGGTCCCAAGAGCAGATCATCTCTGGCATGAAGACTGGGCCTGGATTTGTTCTATCTGCCTGTCAGCTGTAACACACCCATAGCTGGCATGGGAGGGAAGCTGTTGTGTCTGGCTTCAGTGTGGGGACATCACTCCTTCCTCTGGACAGCAGAGTAGGGCTGGCTTGCAGCTGAACTCCTTGCCTTATTTTTCACTGTCAGCTCGTCTTGCTTTTGTGCACGTGCTGTGCTTAACCCTCAAAACAAAACCCTCGGGTATGTCAGAAGTGGTAGCATCACTAGCTCCCTGACCTGCTTGCAAGGTTCATAACAACGCTTGGCTTGTGTTGCACCTTTCATCAGAGGACCTCAAGAAGCACCTCCCAGGTATTCATACAGTGCTTACAATTTCCAGGAAGACAGAGAAAATGTGGTTTGAATTACGTGAGAGAGGAGAAGAGATGGCGGCCTCCATGTGCTTTGCTTTGTGGCTGCATTAGATACTTCTCTCTGGCTGTAATAAACACCATGGCCAACACAACATAACAAGAAAAGTTATATGGGTCTTAGAGTTTCAGAGGAATAGAGGCCATGGCCATCGTGCTGGGGAGCATGGTAGCAAGCAGGTAGACATGGTTGCAGGCACAGCAGCTGAGAGCTCATATTTTGATCAGCATGCAAGAAGCAGAGTGAGTCCTGAAATCATGAGGGTCATTTGAAATCAAAGCCCAACCCCAGAAACACACCTTCTCTCAAAAGGACACACCTAACCCTTCCCAAACAGTTTCGCTAACTGGAGATCAAGTATTCAAATATGTAAGTCTAAGATCACCTTTCTCATTTGATCTGCCACAGTGCCCAGTGCAAGGAAGGAACCTTTGGTCATGGCTCCTCAGATGTGGGATTTCTCTGTGTGCTGTGGATACCATTGGGTTAATAAGGAAACTGTCTTAGGCCTGCACAAGGCAGAACGTAGGTAGGCAGGGAGAACTAAACTGAATGCTGGGAGAAGGAAGGCAGAGTCAGGGAGAAGCCATGTAGCCCCACTGGAGACAGATGCCAGAACTTTATCTGGTAAGTCACAGCTTCGTGGTGATATACAGATTAATGGAGATAGGTTAATTTAAGATATGAGTTAGCCAGAAATACATTTAAGCTATTGGCCAAATAATACTGCAAATAATATGGTTTCTGTGTGATTATTTCAGGGCTGAGCAGACAGGAACAAACAAGCAGCCTTTGCACAACACTCCTCTCCTGCTGAACACACTTTTGTTCACACTTTCTCAGGTTACAGTCATGATAGCAGACTTTTAAGTCCTGCAGAGCCCATTGGCTGTGTGGAGGCATCTTGCCCTTTCCCCAGGACCCTGCAATGTCCTGGGGAAATGTCTCTGAGGGCACTATTCCTCTGGGCTATGGGATTCCCAGATTATCCTCATCACCAGATATTTGTCTCACGGCTTCAGGAATTAGAGTGCCTTCATTACCACAATATGCACTCAGGCGACAATGTAAATGCCTTCTTTCCCTTATGGTCAACTCAATTATTCATATATAACAACCCTCATTATTGCATTATTAAGCCTTTAGATTAGGTTGGAAATATTTCTTGAGGAGTTAGGTAGTATAGCTCAGTAGGAGAGTATGTGGTTAGTTTGTGTCCTGGGGTTAATCCCTAGCACAAACCCTGACTTAGTTATTTTTCTATTGCTATTTTAAAATACCCAGATAAAAGTAATTTAAGGGAGAAAGAATATATTAAAAGCCATATGGAAACACACGACATCATAAGCTAATAAAAATATTTCTTAAAAAGGGAACTTGAATGGTAGTACACAGCATGAGTGGACGATACTGTCCCCAAAAGACAACCTCATCAGCAGACATGGGACACACCTTGCAAGCTGTAGATCAAGAAGGCCCTAGAGACTTCCAAATCAGCACACGCTATGGTCATTGCTCTTGGCTGCCCACCAGAACTAGAGGGTAAGATCCATAGTTGAAGGTAACACACATTTTGGTTTCAGGACAGAGAAATTCATTTGGAAATGATCACAAAGCCTCCTCCTTACTGGCTAGCTCTCATAAGGTCTGAAGGCCAAGGGGGGGAAAATCAATGGTCTTACTCAGAGCTGGACCCTCTATGCCACAATACTGATATGCCAGGCAAGACCTGCTGATGTAACAAAGGCACAACGATTTATAGGAGTGGCAGTGACTAGAGCATAATCATTTTTTTTTTTTTATTTTACTAGAGTTAAGGCCTGTCCTGTAAAAGAGAATTCATGCCTGGTACTGTGTCTTGGGGTTTCTAGTTCTGTGATAAAACACCATGACCGAAACCAAGTTGGGGAGAAAGGGGTTTATTTCATTGTATACCTTGTCACCCATAATCCGGAGAACTCAGGGTAGGAGCTCAAGGAAAGAATCTGGAAGCAAAAACTGATGCAGAGGTCAAGCTTTGGGCCTGTCCTAGAACTAGCTCTCGTAGACCAGGCTGGCCTCGAACTCACAGAGATCCACCTGCCTCTGCCTCCCGAGTGCTGGGATTAAAGGCGTGCACCACCACTGCTGGCTAGCAGTTTTTCTTATATACCCCAGAACCACCTGCCCAGGGGTGGAACTGCCCACAATGATCTGGGCCCTCCCACATCAAATATCAATCAAAAAAATGCCCTGTAGACTCACCTACAGGCCAATCCTATAGAGACATTCTCGTAATTAAGATTCTTTCTTCCCAGATGGCCCTCACTTGTGTCAGTAAAGCCGGACAAAATGCTGTGTGTGGCTGGGGAAGTCATAAACTCTAGGGGAGGACTCACCACTTTTGTTTTGCTAAATGGTCACACTGTCAAACTACCTTTTAATATTTGTGCTTATACCCATAGATCTGTTCTGCTCTCAGCCTCTGCGAGAGAAGTGCTTTATAGGGGGTAATAGTTAATGCAGGGACTCATAACTGTCGGAATGCTGAGAATAAGTGACCGAGTGATCCATCCTAAAGGGATCGTTTATATCAACTCTGTCCCACAAGGTCAGAAAACGTCATGGGAGAGAGGGGGGACAACTAAGAGCTAGAGGATAGGGGAAATTGTGTAAAATGCTGCCTGCTAGACACGACATGACAGCGCATTCACGAGCTTACCACAGCCGTAGTTACCAGCACACGTGAGGCAGCGAAACAACAGCGAGACTAGGGAGGGGCTCCTGAGACCTCACCACGAGCTGAGCGGGTGGCTGCTCTGGGAGGGAGCATGCGACTTTGAGGAAGTGTGTTTACTCACAGATCGCCCGTGTTCCAGTGGATGGCTCTACATGTGCATGTAGGCAGCGCTGATGGACAACACTGGGTTGAGAGGAGAAGGTAGAGGAGGACTAAGAGGTGATAATGGAGTTGAGAAGATGTGGTGGGAAGGGGTCCAGGAAAAGTTCAAATGGGAAGAGGGGATGGATATGTACAAAATACATTGTACACATATACAAACTCTCAAAGAATGAAAAAATCATTTGAAATTAAATAAGTGTAGGGAATAATCCACCCACCCAGCTCTACTTCATTCAGCGGTTAAGCACTGTTGTTTCTTGTGTATCCTGGCATTTCATTACACTCACAAAGCAGGTAGCAATGCAGTCTAACTCCCTCTATTCACAGAAAAAGTAATGTTCTCCATCCCTTCTGATGGGCAAGTAATGGAGTCTTACGGGGATTTTATTCCTTAGCAACTAATGATGAACACTTTTTCATATCCTGCTAGCCATTCAGGTACATTTCATGGTGAAATGTCTATTCAACTCTTGTCCATTTAAAGTCTGAGTCTCTAACCTTTTGCCTGCAAGAATTCTTTACATAGTCTGGGCATCCTTTTTTGTATTTCTTTTTTTTTATTATTGATTTTTATTGAGCTCTACATTTTTCTCTGCTCCCCTCCCTACCTCTTCCCTCCCCCCTACAACCCTTCCACAAAGTCCCCTATGCTCCCAATTTACTCAGGAGATCTTGTCTTTTTCTACTTCCCATGTAGATTAGATCTATGTAAGTCTCTCTTAGAGTCCTCATTGTTGTCTAGGTTCTCTGAGATTGTGGTTTGTAGGCCGGCTTTCTTTGTTTTATGTTTAAAAATCACCTATGAGTGAGTACATGTGATAATTGCCTTTCTGGGTCTGGGTTACCTCATTCAAAATAATGTTTAGCTCCATCCATTTTCCTGCAAAATTCAAGATGTTATTTTTTCTGCTGTGTAGTACTCCATTGTGTAAATGTACCACATTTTCCTTATCCATTCTTCAGTAGAGGGGCATTTAGGTTGTTTTCAGGTTCTGGCTATGACTAACAGAGCTGCTATGAACATAGTTGAGAGCATGTCCTTGTGGCATGATTGAGCATGCTTTGGATATATACCCAAAAGTGGTATTACTGGGTCTTGAGGAAAGTTGTTTCCCAATTTTCTGAGAAATCCACATTGATATCCAAAGGGGTTGTACCAGCTTGCATTCCCACTAGCAATGCAGAAGTGTTCCCTTTTCCCCACAACCTCTCCAGCATAAGTTGTCATCAGTGTTTTTGATCTTGGCCATTCTTACAGGTGTAAGATGGAATCTCAGAGTTGTTTTGATTTGCATTTCTCTGATGACTAAGGATATTGAACATTTTCTTAAGTGTCTTTCAGCCATTTTAGATTCCTCTGTTGAGAGTTCTCTGTTTAGGTCTGTACTCCATTTTTTTTAATTGGATTATATGTTCTTTTGGTGACCAATTTCTTGAGTTCTTTGTACATTGGCGATCAGACCTCTGTCTGATGTGGGGTTAGTGAAGATCTTTTCCCATTCTGAAGGCTGTCATTTTGTCTTGTTGACTGTGTCCTTTGCTTTACAGAGCTTTTCAGTTTCAGGAGGTCCCATTTATTAATTGTTTCTCTCAGTGTCTGTGCTGCTGGGGTTATATTTAGGAAGTGGTTCCCTGTACCAATACATTCAAGTATACTTCCCACTTTCTCTTCTATAAGGTTCAGTGTAGCTGGCTTTATGTTGAGGTCTTTGACCCATTTGGACTTGAGTATTGTGCCTGGTGATAGATATGGGTCTATTTTCATCCTTCTACATGTAGTCTGGGCATCCTTTATCTAACAGGATAAAGATAACTCAAGGGAGGTGCTTCCTGTGGTCAGTGACTCATCTTTTCATTGAGCTACTGCTGTCTTTGGAAGTGTATATATATTTTTTAATTTTGGTAAGTCATTTTTTTTTGATAAATTGTGAGTCTGTGTCATTTCTAAGAACTCACCAAACTATGAGCAAACACTTCTGTTTTCTCCTAATGTTTTATAGATTTAGCTATTACCTTCAGCCTGTAAGCCATATTTTATTTTATCATAGCACAAAGAAAAATCAAATTCATTCTTTGAAATCCAGTTGTCCCAGCAACATTTGTTGAGTGTTACTTTCCCCACTGAGTTGCCTAGATCCTTTTGTTGAAAATTAATTAAACATACATGTAGAGGTTTATTTGGGAATTCTCAGATATGGGCAATTGATTCTTGTCTGCCTTTATATTTCTATAATGTTTGGGCCACTACAGCTTTATTAATAAAATCCAAGATATGGAAACATAAGTCATTGAACTCGGTTAGAGTTTTTCCAAGTTGTGTTGCTAGTCCAGGTCCTTTGAATTTTCATATAAATCTTTCATAGATTCACCTTATCAATTTCTAGAAATCATACTAAGATCTTGGAAGGAAACTATATGGAGCCAGAAAATTAATCTAGAGGGAATGAACTATGTCAGCAACATTGCATATTCACGAGTATGGGATAATTTTGGCTTACATCACCCTTAACTTCTAGCAATGTTTTTTCATTGTAAAATTATAAGTCTTTCACTTGATTTGTTAAATTTATTCCCCAGTACTTTAATATACAGAGTTGTTCTATTAGTTCTTTTTCTGTAGAAAACCTTAATACACTAGCCTTAACTATATTGTTACAACAATGGAAAATAGATTAATACAAATGGTGATACTAGACATACTTTTCTTCTTGCCATTTTAGGGAGAAGCATTCAGGTTTTTGGTGTGGTTTTGTTGTTTTATCCACCAGTAAGTATGATATTGGTGCTAGGATTTTCTTGTGTGTGCCCTTTGTGAAGTATGGCATTTCCTTTTATTACTGAGAAAAGTAGCTGTGATGGCTAATCTTGGTTGTCAAGTTGAATACATTTGGAATCAACCAAAAGCACAAGTGGCTGCCACATTATGGTTGCTTGATTAAATCATTTGAGGTGAGAAAACCCACCCCACTTCTGGTACCACAATCAGTATTAGTCAGGGTTCTCTGGAGGACTGGCACTAACTGAATACACACAGAAGGGGGCTGGGGCGCTATGAGAGTGACTCACGGGCTCCATAGTCCAGCTAGTTCAGCAAAGACTGACTCCCAAAGGAGATGCCAATAATCCAGAAGTTGTTCAGTGTATGGGACTGAAAGTCTTACTTGTTCTTCAGTCTGTGTTGAAATCTCAATGAGATAGGTTCCAATGCCCGGAAGTAATGCCTCAGCAGCATGATAGATGAACTTGGCAATGACAGAGAGGGGGGCAAGCAGATAAAACTGAAAAGTTTCCCCCTTCCATGTCCTTCTGTGTGGTCCAGATTTAAGGTTGTTCCTCTTACCTCAAAGGATCCAATAAAGAAAGTTCCTCAGGTGCTATTGTAGATGATTTCAGATGGAGTCAAGTTGACAACCAAGATTGGCCATCACATATAGATTCACTGAATGGAGATTCTCAATTTAATATAGATGTTTGATCTGCTTTTTAAAGGTGTCAAAAAGGTTTGAGCTATTAGTTGGTTGAAGCATATCAAAAGACGGCCTATTGAATGGGAGCTGGAGATGCCTGATATGGCTTGGTTTAGTATTGATGAAGGGATTTGAAAGCTCCAGGAAACAACAGTGACAATGTGGGAGTGATGTGTGAAACCTTACCCCCCACCATGAGAAGGCCCACAAGATATGCCCTTCACTCATCTTGTAAGACCCAAATAGTGAGAGGGGCATCTGCACATCTGAAGAGCTTTTGGTGGCGCTTTTCCTCCATGCTGGTGCTCAGATGGATAAATTAAATACCTATGATGGGTTAATTGGGCCCCGCTAGCAGGGCCAGTTGGCAAGATGACTGCAGTTATCTAAACAGGCAGCACAGGCAGAGTGCTATTTATGGTGCTATGGTTCGTATGGACCTTTGGTGTTGGCTAATAAGTCATGGTGTTTCCAGGAATCAAACAGGTAAGTCCACTACATTTTTGTTTAATTTTATAAGCAGAAAAATTCTGGAGCAAATGGAAGAAGACTATACTGGATCATAGTAAGAAAGAATTTGGTCTGTAAACCAATTTCCAGACTTGGGCCAGTCTGCAGGCCCAAAACTCCTTAAGTGAAGAGATGGCTAGGTCTACTTGAGGAAGAACCTTGCTAAAATATCTAAGAGTTTTATCATTAGCCAAATGGTGGTGGCACATGTCTTTAATCCCAGAATTTGGGAGGCAGAGGCAGGAGGATCTCTGTGAGTTCAAGGCCAGCCTGGTCTACAGAGTTGAGTTCCAGGACAGCCAGTGATACATAGAGAAACTCTGTCTCGAAAGCTCTCTACCCCCAACTCCCCCAAAGAGTTTTATTGTTAGCCTCTCTCCCATCCTTCCCTATAGGGACCTATGACCTTTACAAGAACAGCTGTACACTTGGGGAAAGGAAACAATGGTTTCCCGGGGTCTGCTGGACACTGGTTTAAAACTGAACTGATTCTGGGAAACCCCAAGGAGCACTGGGACCCTCCAGCAAAGTGGGTCCTAAGGAGCACTGGGACCCTCCAGCAAAGTGGGTCCTAAGGAGCACTGGGACCCTCCAACTAAAGTGGGTCCTAAGGAGTACTGGGACCCTCCAACTAAAGTGGGTCCTAAGGAGCACTGGGACCCTCCAGCTAAAGTGGGTCCTAAGGAGCACTGGGACCCTCCAGCTAAAGTGGGTCCTAAGGAGGTCCACTGTTTAGTGGTGTTCTGGCTCTAGTGGGTCTCAGAGCTAAGCCTGTGGTTATTTCCCCAATTTCAGAATATATAATTGAAACCGATATAATTACAGGTTGGAAAAATTCCCACACTGGTCCCTGGCCTGTGGAGTGAAGTAAGGGCTATTATGGTTGGAAAGACCGGAAGCCATCTGAGTTTCCTCTACTAAGGAAAAGAGTGAACCAAAGAATATATTAAACCTGGAGGAATCGTCGAAATGAGTGCTACATGAAAGACTTGAAAGCTGCAGGGATGGTGGTTCCCAGCACATGCCCCTTCTTCTGTCTGATTGGCCTGTGCAGGATATAAATCGGTTGTGGTGTAGCAGATCATCCCAAACATAGGCAGCAACTCTAAGTGTAGCTGCTGCTAGCAGATGTGGTGTCCTCATTGAGCAAATTAACCCATCTCCAGGTACGTGATACTGTGGAATAGTAAGATGTATTACATTTGTTTATGCTGTTGAACATCTCTTTTAGTGATGCAGATCTGTTGCATTCTCTTATGTTGCATTTGTTTAACTCTGTGAAGCTGTGATTCTCCGCTTATCTAAAACACCTGATGGTTCTAATAAAGAGCTGAACGGCCAATAGCAAGGCAGAAGAAAGGATACGTGGGGCTGAAGTAGAGAGAATAAAGGAGAAATCTGGCAGGAAAAGAAGGAGCAAGAGAGAAAAAGAGAGAACAAGAGAGATCAAGGAGAGAAAAAAGGAGTCAGTCACACAGCCAGTCACAGAGTAAAAGTAAGATTACAGAAGTAAGAAAAGGGAAAAGCTCAGAGGCAAAGGTAGATGGGATAATTTAAGAAAAGCAGGTTAGAAACAAGCCAAGCAAAGGGCCAGGCACTTATAAGTAATAATAAGACTCTGAAATTTTTGGAAGCTGGGTGGCAGCTCCCCCAAAAGACAACATGACATGCAACTATTGATCTAGAAAATGCCTTTTTCTCTATACCTGTTTGTACAGATCACCAGAAGCAATTTGCTTTATACCTTTATACTTTTACTTCAACAGTATATTAACTCTCTGGCCCTGTGTTATTACACAGCTTGAAGGGATAGTTATGGTCTGTCTCTCCCACAAATATCACACTGGTCCACTATATTGATGACATTATGATGAATGGTCCATATGAGCAGGAGGTAGTAACAACTTTAGACTTGTTGGTAATCAGAGGATGGGAAATAAATCCAACTGAAATTCAAGAACCTTCAACCTAAGTGAAATTCTTAGTCCAGTTGTGTGGGCCATGAGAGATATTCCTTCTAAGGAGAAGGAAAAGTTATTGCACTTGGCCCCCTCCCACTATCAAGAAAGACACAGAACATTTAGGCTCTGGAGGCATTTGGATCTGGAGGCAGCACATTCCACACTTGGGTGTGTTACTCTGGCCTATATACCAGGTGACTCAAAAAGTTTTGTGTGGGGCCTGGAATAGGAGAAGGCTCTTCAAAAAGTCCAGGCTGCTGTGCAGACTGCTCTCTAACACTCAGACAATACAGTCCAGTAGATTCAGTGGGACTAGAAGTGTCCATGGCAGATAAAGATGCTGTTTGGAGCCTCTGGCAGGCTCCTATAGATGAATCACAAAAGAGACCTTTGGGATTTTGGAACATGGCTCTACCATCATCTGGAGAGACAACTAGTCCCACTTTGAGAGACAGCTCTTGGTTTGCACTTGGGCCTTAGTGGAAACTGAATGTTTGCCAATGGGCCATCAAGTTATTCTGCAACCCAAGCTGGGTATTATCTGGCCCACCAAGCCATAAAGTAGGACATACACAGCAGCAATCTGTTATTAAATTGAAGTGCTATACGTGATCCCGAGGGAAAAAGAAAGTTACATGAATCTATTGAGCAGATGCCTACTATCAAACACTCAGAAGTGGTGGGGCCTGGGAGAACGGAGGCAAGAAATGAGGCGGACTAAAGTCTCATGCAATCGCCAACTTTATTCAGAACATCAGACAATCTGCACTTTAAGGATGAAGAGTCACGTAAGTCACATAAGTACCCTAAATATGACACCATTCCCTTGGGTTAACAGCCAGCGACCTGGTGGCAAGTTCACTACATTGGAGCATTTCCTCTGTGGAAAGGACAACACTCTGTCCTTACTGGAGTAGCTTCTGATTGTTGATTTGCCTTTACTGCATGTCCTACTTCTGCCTAAACCACCATCTGTGTACTTACAGAATGTTTCTTCCATCATCATGGTATCCCACACAGTATCGCTTCTTACCAAGGAACTCACTTCACAGCCAGAGAAGTGCCACACGGGACCTTGCTCATGGAATTTTACCATATTCCCCAGCATCTGAAAGCAGCTGGCTTGCTACAACAGTGGAATAATGATCTGTGGAAAACACAGGTACAGCACCATTTAGGTGGCAGTGGCCTAGCGGGCTGTGGCAGGGTCTCAAGCAGGCTGTATATTCTTTGAATCAACATCCAATATACAGTATAGTTTCCCTTCTAGTCAGGACTCATGGGATTCATTCCACTCACTATCACCCCAGTGACCCATTGTGAAACTTTTTGCTTCTTGTTTCCATAACCTTGAGTTTGGGTGGCCTGGAAGTTTAGCCCCAGATGGGTGAGCACTCCTGCCAGGAGACACACTAACCATTTAATTGAACTGGAAGCTCTGACATCCCCCTGGTCACTTTGGTCTTCTGATGCCCTTAAACAAACAGGCTAAAAAAGGAATACCAGTGTTAGGATGGGGTGATTAATCCAGACTACTGTGGGGAACTGGATTGCTTCTCCACAAAGAAAGTAAGGAAGATTATGTCTAGAATGAAGGCTGCCCATCAGAGAGTCTCTTTTGGTGTTAAAATATCCTGAGATGAAAGTCATGGGAAACTGCAACAATGCGATCCAAGCTAGCAGACAAAAAACTCAGACCCCAAAGGAATGAAGGGCTAGATCACGCCTCTAAAATCCAAGACCTGCTGACTGTGTTATACTTTACACACACACACACACACACACACACACACACACAGAGACACACAAAACATAGATTTGTGGGTTTTTTCCCTCTATTTCTTTATCATGTAATGTAACATCGATTGGTATAATAGCAATGGCTGCCATATTTTAAGTTATAAGACACTTAAAGAATGTCCCTCAAGGGACACTGACACCTGTTCATTTGCAGATGCACATGGGGTACTTTGTGAATGTTCATGGGAGTTGCATCATGTTAGGTGTAATTATGATCTGGATGTTGTTTCTATCTGTAAATTATGCATTGCATGACAAAATGTGACAAACTGACGAGGGTGGACTTGTGACAGCTGATTTTGGTTGTCAGCTTGACTTCATCTGCAATCAACTAAAACACAAGCAGCTGGGAATGCTTCTGCAGAAATTTCCTTGATTGGATAATTTGAGGTGAGAAGATCCACCCTAAATCTGGGCCACACCTCTTGTTGCAGCCTACGTAGAACACAGAAGGACATGGAAGAAGGAAGCTTTTGCTTTTTGCTTGCTTGCCCTCACTCTTACTGGCAAGTTCATCGTCCTTGCAGTCAAGGCATTACTCTGTTGCTGTTAGAACCTACTCGGGTCTGGGCTTCAGCACAGACTGAGCTGAGACATCCAGTCTCATGAACCCATCAACCACTAGATTCTTTCCTTTCTGTCAGGGGACAGCCAGACTAGCTAAACCATTGCCTGTAAGCCACCCTAATAAATCTCTAATATGTACACACACACAGACACACACACACACACACACACACAGAGAATATATATATATATGTATATATACATATATATATTCTTTCCATTAGTTTTAATCCTCTAAATAGGATTTTATTAAATGCTGTTTCTGCATGATTATGAGTTTTTTGTCTTTGATTCCATTAAAAAATCATACATGACCTCAGTTGATTTTCAATGATAAATCAACTTTGAATTTCTGGGTACTTGGTCATTCTGTGTAGATTTTTATAGTATTAGATTCAATATGCCAAGTTTTTGTGCATGCTAGGTATTCAGTCCAAGACCTCAACAAAGAGAAATGTCTAGCACCAGTAGCTACTACACTCTAAGCTGTTTGCTAATATTTTCAAGACAGGATCTTCTATGTCGCTTGGTTGGTCTGGAACTTGTGATTCTCCTGTCTCAGCCTTCCAAGTACTAGAGCTCAAGAATGCATCTTCATGTCAGTCTTCGAATACTTCTGAAGTTATTTTTTGCATGCATATTTAAACGGGATGTTAGTCTCTAGTTTTATTTTCATATTTGTCTTTTCATTTTGGAGTCAGGCTCTTGGCTCATAGTATGGCAGCATGCTTCCACAGACATGTAAACAAGTTTTCATAGTTATAATTTATAAATTGTAACGTTTCACTTTCTGTGAGTCAAGTGGCCACCATCATCATCTGGTGCTGGATTGAACCTAGTACGTAGTGTGCTAGAGTGCCCTGTCTGAACCATCACAGTTTCTGCCAACTCCCAAGTTACTGCTAAGGAATAAGCCAACAGTCTGACCGCCATCTAATTGGTGTGGCATGTCTAGAGTCTCATACTATGTCTTGTTGCACACAAGAAGAGAGGAAGATGATATGCCAGGACTTTGTACTCAGCATCAGCTCCACTGACTAGACAGGAGAGGAGTGTGCTGCTTCCTAATTTCTTCTGTATCATGGGGTGATTAAAAGATACTTCCTGAGTTGTCGCTGACCATTGTTGTCACAGCTTCTTATCCTGAGATCACATTCTCTAGAGATCTGGAGGAGATGTGTGATAATGTGCACAGATATTTATGAACAACCGGCTAACTCTGCTGTTTAGTGTCTCCAGATGCCAAGAGCCAGTCAGCTGTCAGAGAATCTATGTTAGCCTGCTGTTTTGAGACTGTCCAGTCACTGTTGTCTTCGTTATGCTCCCATGATACTTGTTATTATGATTGATCTGGGTTACTGTTAATTTGTGTGGTGTAGTGTTATACGAATATAAGGCCACTGGAAGGAACTGATTCTTTCCAAATCTTGTATTTCATTAGGTTACTTCAAAAACTTTGTTTTTGAAAATAAAATCACCTCAGCTTGATATTCACTGCTGTTCATTTTTCAAATCTCAATCACATGTCACCTCTTCTAGAACGGGCAGCCGCTACTTATCGTCTTGTACTGTGTGTTCTGTCTCCTTTATCCGTCACACAGGCCATGTGGTGGACCTCTTTCTTACACATGAAGACCCTGGGGCCAGAGAGTTTAGGAAATAAGCCATGACCACCTCTACAGTGAAATGACCAGTTTGGGTGACTCAAGCTGCCTTACCTGTGGCTGAGCCAGCCTGGCCCTCTGCTCGCCGCTCACCCCCTGTCCCAGCACTTGACACAGAACTCTGGGATGAGTAGCATGGGAAGGCCTTCCAGAATTGTGATTGGTTCTATTTTGTATTTCTAGCATTCTAAAGTGTAGTGACACACAGGAGTTCTGTGTTCAAACAGATGACTTACTGAAAACAGCTATCCATCCAGGAACTCTGACACAGAAGGGAACTAAGTATTTAATACAGACTTTGCTACCAAAGAGGGAAAGTAGCATCTGTCTAGTCACCCAGTGATGAAGTGGAACATGTTTTCTGTCCATGACTGTTTTCGGGTCAGAAGTTGTACGCCAATTTGTAAGTTATAAAAAAAGACTAAAAAACTAAGGGATCTGAACTTAAGATATCAGAGGTGCTGTGGAAAATTCAGTCAGTGACTTTATGCCTATCAAAGCTGTTTATTAGTTCTGAAGATCAGCCCCCACCTGAAAGAAATGGAGGCCTCTCTCAGACCCCAAACCAGCCAACTTAACCCTTCCTCAGTGCTAGTAAACAAAGAGCCTGGATGTGGGCCATTGAATTCAGCCAGGGTTCACAGCCCAGCACAGCTGCGCTGAGTCCTACGGATGGAGAATAAACAATCTCTCTCTCAACCCCTCCCAGTGGCTGCTCCTTCCAGCTAGGCCTGACCAGCTGGTCCTGCTGTCATCCCCCCACACCCCAGAGCTCACCAGGCCTGCCCAGCCACAGGCCTCAGGCTTCCGTCCTCCCCACTCAACACCCACCCTGGCCCATCCCAAGTAGTCAAGGGTATCAAGAAAACCATGAGCGCAGAAAACAAAAGCAAAGACAACCTCTAAAAATCAAATTCTCTAAAATTCATGGTTTGGGTCCCACCTAGCGAACTGTGGTCACACCTTAGCTCACCGTGCTGCAGGTCAGGTAGAAGCTGCTGTCTCATATTTCCCCATGAGGAACTCAGCCCCATCATTTCCTTGCTCAGCTGCCCTAAAAGCATCTCCGAGTTTTTCACACCACATTAACACAGCTGGACTTTGCTTTTGATTTCTCCAATGACATTCCTTTTGTATAGACATGCCCTCAAAATGATCATCTTATAATATAAACATTTTGTTATTTTGATTATTCTCATTCATTTATGGTCACCCGACTCTGCTATCGGTATTTTCTCTGTTTTCTAATATTTGCAAAGAAAATTTTTCTAGAAACCCTTCTCATTAATCCTAAGCAATTTCTTTTTAGTTGTTACCCGCTGTGATGGGGCCAGTTAGGGCTGAGTTTAAAGTCAGGCTTGGTAACATAGGGAGGCTTGCTCAAAATTAAACTGTGAAGAGAGGACTGGGAATGTAGCTCAGTGTAGAGGGCTTGTTTGTCTGGACACAGACTTAGGTTCAATTCCCAGTACCAGATTTACTTTGATTTCTGTTTATTTTGTGAAGGTAAAAACTTTGTGGCTGGAGAGACAGTTTAGTGATCAAGAGCACTGGATGCTCTTACTGAGGACCTGGGTTCAATTCCCAGCACTCACATCTGTCTGTAACTCCAGTCCCAGGAAGAGTCAGCACCTATCTCTGATCTCTGAGGGTACTAGATGCACACGGTGCATAGACGTATTTGAAGGCAAAACTCCCAAACATACAAAATAAAAAATTAAAAACTCAACAATAATAATTTTAAGAGAATACTAAACTCCCAGGATTGTTGAGTATCTGTTTCAGGCCAACTACTGCCCAGGCCTGAGCTAACCGAAGCAGGAGCTGCTCCCACAGACAGCAACTGGGCTGAAATGCAATTCTTCTGTCTGAGTTAGTGTACATGGAAGGTGGGGGTACTCACCTAACGCAAATCCTACCTGGAAAATAGAACATAAAACATCCCTGTAATATTTTATACTGAATATATATTTGGGTTAAATGAAGTGTTAAATAATAAATAATGGTCTTTTAAAAACAATAGGTGGTGGTGCATGTCTTTAATCCCAGCACTTGGGAGGCAGAGGCAGGCAGATAGAGGCCAGACTGATCTACAAAGCGAGTTCCAGGACAGCCAGAGCTGCAACACAAGGAAACCCTGTCTTGAAAAACCAAAAACCAAACCAAACAACCAACCAACCAAGCAAACAAACAAACCCTTTAAATGTCATTGTGAGGAAACCTGAGAGTTCGCCATTTGCCTGCACTGTGCCATTAGTTAGCAGGCAGGAGTGCCCTGAGAATGTCACACTCAAGACAGAAAGGTGAACATATCTACATTTCCCTGACTTTCTGTTTTGTGAGATGAGGGTCTCAATTGTGTGGCTCATGCTGGCTCAGAACTCAAGATCCATCTGCCTCAGTCTCCCCATGCTGGGATTCAGGTGGGCAAACCTGGCTATTTCCCTGATTTGGGGAACAGTTACTAGCAATGAATCAAACAGGATTTTTTGTGAACTTTATTAAAAATTAACACAATATTTTCATTTGTACTTGAGACTACCAAGCCCCAGAAAGGCAGTTTTATATCTTACATACTATCCACATGATAAAGACGGGGCAGCAGTGATAACTCAACAGCGGCGCTCTCCTGCCATCCCTGGAGGAGATGCCTTAGGAAGGTATGTAAAGAACCAGGGACATCAGGTGCTCTCCTGCCATCCCTGGAGGAGATGCCTTAGGAAGGTATGATCTAAAGAACCAGGGACATCAGGTGCTCTCCTGCCATCCCTGGAGGGGATGCCTGTTGGAGGCCATGTTCTCTCCACTGACTCCATCCATTGAAACTGAAGGGCTGTTCAGGATGAATACCTGAGCCTACTGGGACAGAGAAGTATGTTCATTCTGGGACAGTAGGACATTGTGACATCAGCAGTGATGACCTCTGAGTTTGCTACTGCTGACTCCCTGTCCATGCTGTTACTTGCGCCAAGCCCATTCCTCTACCATGAGTGTGAAACAGCTAAAATCAGCACATCCGCATGGACCTTGAGGTGACAGACTGGCTCTGGTGAATATTCCTATTTTCTATTAGAAGGTGGCCCGCCATAGTATTACGCATTTGTTACAGTGTATAGTGATGCCTGATTCCCTGAGGTTTTTCCCTTTGTCCTGATTAAGGATCCCTCTTCGAATGGTTCAGAATGTGGAGGAAAGAGTCCCAGGCAGTCATTCCTTCAGCTTCACTGGTAACGTTTACTGGGGCAGGGGTCAGCAAAGGCTTTTACTTCTAAGCCCACTCTCATAATTTTGGTGCGAATTGGGGCCCGTGACCCCCATAGATTTCCTAAAATTAAGGGCTCTCCCTTTGAAAGTTATATTTTGGAGGCTGAGGGTAAAGTATAGAGGCACAGGTGTGCTCAGCATGTATGAGGCTGAGTTCAATTTCCAGCACACACAGGCACAAAACATGCTACAATTCTGCATCAATAAACACTACATGGTTATTTTATTCAGGCAAAAATACGTTGTGACAAATTCATGTACATATTTATAAATAAGTAACCGTGGGTCCAATAAACACATCACATGTAAACACCGGACTGAACGGCATGAACTAAGGGTGAGTGAGAGACTGGCGGCCACATCTCAGACTCATGCCTTGAAACCGAAGTTGGGCATACAGAGCTAGCCCGCAGTGATGCTACGCGAACTACCAGAAATGCTGACAATCTGTCTTTTCAGAGTTTTCCTCTTTCTGCCAAACATGGCTTTCCATGTTTTTCTAAACAGAGTTGCAATGATTTTTATCAGTGAATGTTTACCTTAACATGAAAAATGTAAGCTTTTACAGCAACATTTTCCAAATTGGTTTACCTTGGAATGTCACCTGTCTACAAATACTATGCCATTATAGCCATGGGTACACAAAGAATACGAGTATGCATGTATGCAATATTGGATTTCAGCTGGGTGTTTTCATCTGATTTCTTTTTACTTAGCCAAAATCACTGCTATGAAAGTAGTTTTTAAAATTATGTATTTAAGGGACTGAAGAGATAGCTCAGTAGTGAAGGGAGCCTGCTGCTTAAACACAGGGGCCTAAGTTCAGATCCCAGCACCCACATGCAAAGCTAGGCATGCCAAACGGCAAACCCAGTGCTGGGGTTGGGGTGGAGCTGAGACAGGAGGATCAGTGGATGTTGCTGGAAGCTGGTCTGGCTCCAGGTTCAGTAACAGACCCTGTCTCCAAAGAGTGAGGCATAGAGTGACAGAGCAGGACATCTGATCTCATTGGCTTCCACGAGGGTACATGCACACCTGCAGACACACCACACACACACACACACACACACACAAATTCTGTATTTGAAAAAAAGCTAAAGCATTTGGAACATATTAATGAATACCTTTTGTTAATAAAATATTGTAACTTACACTTTATCTTTAAGAACCTGCCAATAAAAAAAGGACAATTTTCAGAAATATGCTTATCTCACACAATAATAATGACTAATATTCTTCATTTCATATTCAGTTCTGTAGACTGGAAACGTAGAGGTGGGTACCACTGCTATTGCATTTACCACATGACCCTGTGTGTAATATGCTAAGGAGCATGAACATCCTACTACAATAACAGACAGCATGGGTACATTATTATTAGAACTTCCTTTGAGACAGGCTCTCACTGTGTAGCCCTGGCTGAGCTGGAATTTGCTATGTATACTAGCCTGGCCTCCACTTGCATCTGCCTAACAAGTACTGGAATTAAAAGCATGTGCCACCACACCTGGTCCAGTTTCTTTTTCCTTTCCTTTCCTTTCCTTTCCTTTCCTTTCCTTT